TGATTTCTCTCCAGGCCTCCAGACAAGCCTGCCCCTCCCTTCCTGAGGCGGACCCCTGGCTCCGGCTTTCCCCGGCTGCCTTTTTCCAAAGCATCAAGAACACAGGGCAGAGTTTTCTGTTTGTTTTTCTCTTTTTTATTTAAAGATTGATTTATTTACTTGAAAGTCGAATTACACAGAGAGAGGAGAGGCAGAGAGCGAGCGAGAGCGAGAGCGAGAGCGAGAGAGAGAGAGAGAGAGAGAGAGAGGTCTTCCATCCACCGGTTCACTCCCCAATTGGCTGCATCAGCCGGAACTGCACCAATCTGGAGCCAGGAGCGAAGAGCTTCTTCCAGGTCTCCCACATGGGCGCAGGGGCCCAAGCACTCGGACCATCTTCTACTGCTTTCCCAGGCCATAGCAGAGAGCTGGATCAGAAGTGGAGCAGCCGGGACTCAAACCAGCGCCCATATGGGATGCTGGCACTGCAAGCGGTGGTTTTACCCGCTACGCCACAGCACTGGCCCCTGTTTTTCTTTTTGAGAGGTAGAGAGATAGATACAGACAGGAGCCTGTGACCTGCTGGTTCACTCCCCAGATGCCCGCGGCAGCCACTGAGGCTGGGCCAGGCTGCAGCCAGGAGCCAGGAGCTCCGCCCAGGTCTCCCACAAGAGTGACAGGGATGCAATGACTGGAGCCATCGCTGGCTGCCTCCCAGGGTCAGCATGGGCAGGAAGCTGGAGTCAGGAGGCGGAGCTGGGACTCGAACCCAAGGGCCTCCCATGTGGAATGTGGGTCTTTCAGCTGCCAGGCCAAGCACCCAGCCGCGATAGCCTTTTCCCCAGCGCCCTGAAATCCACTCTCAAGGCAGGGCTGTCCCTCCCACTGCCAGCCTCTCCCCAGACCCCCCCTGCCGGGCTGAGCGTGGCCCCTGCCTCCCGTCTCTCTCTGCACCTGCCCTCTCCGCTCTGCGGGCCTCGCGTATCCGCCTTCCCACTCAAATGGCCCATCAGGATGTTCTGCTAACAAACCAGTTTCCCCCCCAAAAGCAGGTGCCTTCTCCCACCCCTGATGGCCAGGCTATCCTGCTCCCAGCCCCAGCCTCAGCCCTGACAGCTTGGCCTCGCACGTGTTTCTGGTTACGTGTGATGGACACACAGATAGATGCCACACACAGCCCCCTGGAGGACCCGCGGCCCAGACCCCCTGCCCCTGCACTGCGAGTCGACAAAGGCTCACACGGGCTCCGGCACGCACGATCACTCCCCGCTAATTCTCGCCGCCCATTGTGATCTCCAGCCTGTCATCACCACTCAGTGTTGACAAAGCAAAACAAAAGCTAAAAAGGAAGAAAGAAATCTACCCTGTCACTCGGACTCCCCCTACCCTGCCGGCTCGGCAGCCCCCGCCCCGCCCCCGCCTTTGTACTGTGGGTTTATGTCAAGGTATGCCGGATTCTAAATTAAATGTCAGTCCACTGTACATTTCTGGCTGCAGCCGCAGCGAGTGAGGAGCTGGCGCTGGAGACCATCCAGTTGTTCAGCCCCCCGCGCCTAACTGCGAGGAGTGACAAGCCCATTGACGCGCGGCACAGTGCCTTTCCGTGCCACGGGCAGCCAAGATAAATTTATTTTTAATGATAAATGTGACGGTCAGAGTGAAGTTGAAACAGCTTTCCAGTGCGAGCTGGCTGCCCCGGGGCAGTGCAGGGCAGGAGCTGGGTGGGGGTGGGGCCCAGGGGTCCCGACCTGCTGTCAGGCCAGCGCCCCAGGCCCCCAGGGACAGTGGCACGCCACATTTGGCCAGCGCCAGCAAAGCACGGGGCGCCCAGGCATTTGAGATGGGGAGACGGGTTCCTGCAGTGTGCAAACCAGGGTTCCCATCCTGGTCTCTTGGATGGCTGTGTCATCTCGGTCAAGTTATCAACCTCTCTGAGCGTCGGCGGCCTTGTCTACAGATTCTCTATGGGATTATCAGGAACACCCACAGGTCTTTGGCAGGGAGTCCGTGAAATAAGACGGCATTGCTAAGGAAAGCTAGGCACACGTGGACGGTTTACCGAAGGGACATTCGGTATGAACCTTGTCATTTATCAATAGCACGGCTGATGTAACACCACACTGAGTCATTTCCTCGTGTGGAAATCGGAGTAGCGACAGTTCCCACTCAGAGGGTGCTGGGAGGGTGCGAGGGGCGCAGCAAGCACACGACAGCTGGCTCAGGGGCTGCCCCGAATGTTGTCACCCTGCGTCCCCTGCCTCTCCTCCCCGCCCCCTCCCTGCCCCGTACCTTCTCCCTGCTGGGGAGCTGCCCTGTGGGACCCCAGCAGCCACCGGCTGGGGTAGGCATGGCCAAGGGCGGTTGCCGCACAGAGGCACAGGACAGATTCCCACCCTGCCCTCTGCCCTAGATAGGAGCTGCCAGACTGTGGGCCGTCGTGTCCAGCAGGCCATGGACAGGAAATGGAGGAGCCTGCAGAATGGGCGCACTGAACAGAGGAATGGACACAGGCCCCGGGCAGCCTCACATCCAGTTCATGAGCCTGTGGGTCCCAGGTCCCTGACATGAGCAGAATGCTCAGCCTTGGACTGGCTGGAAAGCCGAGCCCCCTGGCCAGCGTGCTGTCCCTTGTCAAAAGTGGCCAGAGTTGGGGGGAGACCGTCAGCTCCATGCGGCCAGCTGCCCAGAGATCCAGAGCGCTGGGGTCCGCTTCTGTTGCATTCCCCCCGTCCCCTCCTCCGGGGGCCAATAAACAGCAGCAGCCCTTTCTTCTCTGGGGACACTGGCCCAAGGGAGCAGGAGGGCTCCCTGCAGCCCTGCACGGACATTCTCTCTGGGAGGTGAGCAGAGGCCCCGCCCCGGAGATGGCCACTTCACAGCAAACACTGCCTTCCAGCGCCACTAGGTGGCTCCCGCTCACCTGTCCAACCGCCCTTGCGCAGGCCTGGAGCAGATGTCGGGGCATCCCGTGTGCACCTGCCGGCTCCCTGGAGGATCCTCCTCTGCTCTCGGCTTCTCTTCCTGCAGCCCCCAAATGCCTCCTCCCGCCATGTCCCGGTGCTCTGGGTCAGCTCCTGCCTCTGCATCTCGGGTTGCCTGTTCTGACCCCAGAGCGCACCCACCGGACTTCCTCCCTCAGATTCTCAGCTTGGGCCTCCCCAGGGCCACTTTCAGTCTGTGCACAGACCATCGGTGGCCGTGCAGACTTGCAGTCTCTGCCACCTGCCTGCTTCGTGCAGGCACCCAGACCTCACAGCTGCCCATCAAGGGGCCAGTCCTTGTTCAAGGGGGAAAGTGGCGTGCAGAGCACAGGGAATCTGCCCAAGGCTGCTGCAGGGAGGTCTGAGACCTACCCCGCATCTCAGGATCTCCCGAGTCCCCTGACCTGGGCGCTGGTACCCTGTGGCGTTCATAGGGAATCTGAGGCTTGGAGAGACCCAGTAGCTCGTCCCAGGTGTGCTGTCACATCCCTTTGCCCAAGTCCGAAGGGCTCCAGGTCACCCGCCCTTCCCCTTGATCGACAGGAGAGAGGGTCAGGGGCACAGGTGCCTCTTGGAGAGAGCCAGGGGCCAGAACTGGAACCCCGGGTCTCCAGAGCTCCAGCAGGAGTGAGCTCCGTTCCAGCCCCCAGGAGAGCCACCTCGTGGGCAGCTGGGGTGAGGCTGCAGGGGAGACTGTCTGCAGCCACCTGGAAGGACCAACAGCTGGCAGGGTGACAGTCCCCACGCCAGGCGGGGGACAGGGCTCCCCTGACCAGAGAGGCACGGGGACAGGGACGAAGATGGGGCGCAGACAGGCAGCCGGTGGGGGAGAAGCTGAAGACGGCGCCAGGGAACACAGCACGGCGGGCCAAGGCGCCCCGGGAGCCGGAAAACAGCTTTGGGGAGAAGTAGGGGGGCGGGGAGCGGGGAGCGGGAGACAGGCGGCCGCGCAGAGGGGCGGCGGCGGGGGCGGCCGGGCCGGGCGGCGGGCGGCGCGGGCGCCTCCCGGTCAGAAGCCACAATAGCAGCTCGTTAACGGCGCAGATTAAGGACTTTGTCAATTACCTCCGAAGGCTGCTCGGGGCGGATTAAATGCTTTAAAAAGTGCTGCCGGTGGGAGGGGGCGCCTGGGAAGCCCCCTCCCGGCTCAAATCCCTCCTCTCGCGGCAAAGGAGGAGGAGGCGGCGGAGGCGGGCGCTGAGACGGCGCGGGGCGCGCCTGGGGAGCGCGGGCGATCGGCCGCGAGCGCGGGCAGAGCCGGAGCGGCTGGTCCTTGCCACCGCAGCGCCCACTGCTGTCGCGGTGGCCGGAATCCCCGTCCCGCCCCGGGGCGCCCGGGCACCTGTCTGCGGACGCCCGCCGGGGTGGCCTGGGCTGGGAGGTCCCTGGCGGCTGCGGGCTCCCGGGCAGGGCGCACTTGCCCCAGGACCCCTCGGAGACCCGTGGTGGGGAGGAGAGGGGTGCATCCCGCGGCCCCCACCTTCTGCCCAGCCTAGTTCTCCGTACAAACCCAGCACCCTGAGCCCAGAGGGAGCCGAGGGAGCGCGGGGCACTCCTGGGAGACGGCCCAGCGGGGGCGCTCCCGGGGCCCGCCCGGCGCCGCGCCCGCGCGCACGGTGAGTTGGCGCGAGTCGGGCCGGGGAGGAAGTTTGTGCCCCGCCCGGGGTTCTCGGACCCCGCCCGGAGCCTGCGAGGGCCGGGCCGCCCGGGGCTGTTCGCCGCCCTCCCGGCCCGCCCCAGTGGTCTGGGAGCCGGCTCTGCCTCCTTTCTCCAGGCCTTTGGGGAGGTGGAGTTACTCATCGAAGTCCGCCGCTGTGCCCTCGTGTGCGCGCGTGTGGCGGGGAGGCCGAGGGCAGCAGGAAAAGGCAGAGTCCGAGACAAAAAGACGCGGAGACTGGGAAGGAGGGCGGGCGCGAGGAGGGAGCGGAGAGGAGCGCGCAGGGGAGGCGCGGGAGCGGGGAGCGGGGACGGCGCGCAGCGCGAGCGACGGGCGGGCGGGCGGGCGGGCGGCCGGCGGCTCTCGCGCTCCCGCTCCCGCTCTCACCCGCACACGCCCGGCCGCCCCGGCGCCAGGCACCGAGGCGGGGACCGGGCGGGCAGAGCGCGCGCCCTGCGCCCGCGCCCGCGCCCACCTCGCCGCCTTTGCGCTCGGCAGCGGCGCGCCCGGCCCGGCGTCCCCGCCAGTCCTGCGGGAAGATGGTCAAGGAGCGCTGGAAGACCATGGGCGGCGCTTCCCAACTTGAGGCCCCGCCGCGCGACAAGCCGCAGGTACGCGCGCTCGGGCACTTGGGGGGCGGCGGTGGCCGCTCGGGCCGGCGGGGCGGGGGCCCAGTGCGGGCGCTGGAGTTTGGGGCGCACCCCTGCGAGGCTCTCGTGCCGTCCTCTCCTCCTTCTGAGCGGAGGCCCAAACTCGGGGCTCGGATGGGGCGGCCCCGGGCTTTGCGGGCCGGCACCCCCGTCCCCCACCGCGCGCCGGCGGCCGAGCTCCGGTGCAGAGGGAGGAGGGGACCAGTAATTGGCTGTGTGACCACCGACAAATCACCTCCCCTGCTGAGCCTCCATTTCCCCACCTCTGCAATGGGCAGCTTAGCCTTCCACGCAGCCCCCCGCTCTGCCCGCGCCCGGTGCTGGGCACCTGGCACGTCGGCCAGAGCTTCCAGAGTCGGACTTGAACCCGGGGATCCCGTAGGAACGCTCTCCCTGTAGCCAGAGCTCCGCCGGCAGCAGCAGATTGATCCGTGTGCATCTCCTGGAAGAGCCTGGCCGCTGTAACCGGCCGTCCGGCTTTGTCCCCCAGAACCCAGACCTCAGAGAGGGCCAGCTCCGACCTGCGGCAGCGCAGCTCCGTGGGGATTCGAACCCTGGCCCGGGAGCTCCAGGACTGGCTCCTTCCTGGCTGTCTCGGCAGGGGTCCTGCAAGGGGGCCTCTCAGAGGGCGTCCAGGGCTGGGCACTGGAGGGGGACGAGAGCAGTGCCCCCCGGCTGGCCAGCGCGGGGCGCTGAGGCAGGGGGCAGCCGCAGGGCTGCCCCGGGCTGGGCTGCCAAGGGACCGAGCAGGCGGGCAGGCAGGCGAGGACAGGAAATAATGGGGCTGCCCGTTTTAAATTTCAAATTTCTCCCAGACAGATGTCATTGGGGAAGGAACAGTTTGTGTTTGCAGCGGCAGGAGGGGGCGGCCCCTCCATCTCAGGATCTCAGGAGCTGCCGCCTGCTTCTGCTGGTTCCCTCCTGAGTGGCACCGCGTGGCCCCCGGGGGCCCAGCCCCTGTGGGTTTGTTTGCCTTACGAAGTGGCACCTCCCCGAGCAGGCCAGGGGCTGGTCAGGGGTGTGTGCTCCCACTGCAAAGGCTGGGGATCAGAGAGGCTGAGGAACAGGTCCGCGTCACACAGCATGTTAGTGTGTGTGTGAGCACACGCATGTGCGTGCGTGTGTCAACTCTGAGCCAACGCCTCGCCTCGTCCACTGCCTCCCCCAGGTGGGTCACCCCCAAGCAAAGGCCCCTACTGCTGAGATCTGGCCTTCCGCCCCCAGCGAGCGGCCCTCGCGGCTGGACTTGCTCTCCTAAGCCATCCGCAGCCTGGCCTGTTCCCCTTCCGTCAGCTCCGCTCATGTCCTGAGGGCTGTCGCCGCCCACCCCGGGGCACCCATCTCTAGATCTCCCCCCAAGCCCCCCAGCACGTACCCCCATCCTCACTCAGGGTCACTCTGTGTACTTCAGACTGGCTCACACGCCGCCACCTCCTCCAGGAAGCCCCCTGGTGCCCGGTGGCTGTGTCTCCAAGTCCGGGCCGCGTTTCTAGCCTGTGCCGCTCAGTGCCTTTCTGCCCCTAGCCCCAGGCTGTCCTCTCTGGGGAGCCCCTGTGGCCGTGCGCTCCTCCTGCCCCCCACCTGCACCCCGCCTCCGGTCTCTCTCTAGGCTCAGGCTGCTTTGCGTCCAGGCAGCAGTGTTGAGAACGAGCCGTGTTCGCTGAGCTGAGCGGCGTGCAGGCACTGCTGTCTCAAGGGGAGGAGGCTGCTGAGAGAAGCCAGAGCTCGGGGCTGGCTGTCCCGTGGCTCCCGCTCGCCCCCACAATGGGCGATCCCCCTGCCCGCTCCACCCCCACAATGGGCGATATCCCTGCCCGTTCCAGGCCGGTGGGAAGCTTCGGACAAGAGGAAGACCTTGCCTGCGCCTGCCATCCAGGGCAGACAGTCCGTCCCCACCAGGCTTCTCTCCCCGCTCCCAGCTTGGCCGTGGACCTGCTGTGTGACTGTGGCCGAGTCCCTCCTGCTCTCTGGGCCCGGGCTTGGCCATCCGTGCAGTGGGAACAGCGATGCCCACTTGGTCCTCACTTCACGAGGGTGGTTGGCAGGGGCTGAGAGAGGCGGAGCCAGGGCTCGGGTCTCCCTGGCAGCCGGTGAGGGTCGTCGTCTCCTGGCTCCACTGGCTTAGCCGAGTTCTGTCGCCGCCAAGGACAAAGCTCCGATGCTCATTCCCCCTGCAGGGAGGGGCTCGTGTCCCCGTGTGGCCATTTCTGGGGACGCCAGGGTCCCACTTTGACCCAGCCCCAGGCACCCTGAGCTCCTCATTTGCTGGGTGACCTTGGACAAGCTGTTGCCTCCGACTTCGTTAGCGCGTCCTCTCTCCCCCGACTGACGCAGGGGCTGTCACTCCCGTGGGGCAGGGAGAAGCCGGCAGAGGCGGCGGACTGTTTGCAGGAGTGTGGAGTGGCTCAGATGAAAGGACCCACAAATAGACCTGATTCTTCCAGGCTGGAGCGGAGGCCAGCGAGTCACCTCCCGTGTCCCCGCAGTCCGTCCCCAGGCCGCCGCGTGGGGAGGGCGACCTCCTACCCATCCCGAGGGGCTCTCTTGATATTTTCAAAACTTCTAAAAAGCATTCCAGGAAGGCGGGCCAAAATGCTTGTCGGGAAGTTTTTCCTGTTGTCTAACCTGAATCCCTACTGCGTTCGCTTCACTCGAGGGCTATTTATGGAGCCCCCACCTGCCGGAACAGGTGCAGCTGGGGGCGTGGTCTGGGCCTCAGGCAGGGGGGCCGACAGGTCAGGTGTGTCACCAACTGTGGCCAGCGGGCAGGTGGTCCCTGTGGTTTAGGGGCACGTGGTGGGGCCTTGACTGGAGCAGCAGCTGGGGACAGGGCCAGGTGACCGTGGGGAGCCCGGGGAGGAGGGAGCGGCTGGTGGGATTGAGGAGCTCGGGAGGACTCTGGTTTGGGGTGGGCAGAGCCGGGTTTAGGCCATCTGGGAAGCCAGGAGCCCGGGGCAGGGAGCAGCCGAGACCCTTACAGAGAACCTGTGGAAACCGCCCACGCCTTCTGCCCCCTCGAATCCCGGCAGCCGCTCCCCCCGCCCTGGTTCCAGGAAGGGGTCCCCTGGACAGGGCCCGTGCAGGAGCAAGGGGGGGCTCTGCGCAGGACCCAGAGCAGCCTCTCCCAGGTCGTAGGGAGCCCCCGACCCCCGTGAGCAGAGCACCGGCCCCTTGGCTTAGAGCTCCGAGCAGCAGTGAGAGCCGTGGGCTCCTGGGGGCCCTGGGAGGGGGAGCAGCTGGGGGTCTGGGCCCCTCCCTCCCGCAAGGCTGCATCGCCCGCCGCACTCTGGGGGGAGCTTGGTCCTGAAGAGCCGCCCCCGCCTGGGGCTGCCCCCTTCTGCGCTCCATCACGCAGAGAGCAGGGCCGGGGCCGGGCGGGCACGATGCTCTGCAGAGCACTTGGCCTTGAGCCCCTGCACCCGAGCCTCCCCCCCATACGCCCCCTGCGGCCACCTCTGGAGCCAGGGCTCCGGGCAGGGAGCCGGGACTGCTGTCTCCCTGGGCGCACTGGGGGCTCCTGGCATGGGCCCATTTTCCGAGGCAGCCCCTGACCCCAGGCTGGCCACATCCTTCGGCGGGGGGCCCGTGGCAGGGGGGCCTTGAGCCCCGTCCTCCGCTGCCCGACCCAGGCTCCTGGCTTCTCCCCACCCATCGCCTGGGCGCCGAGTTTCTTGAGGGTGGGGGCTCTGGGCGGGGGCGGGCGCCCCACTCCGGCCTGGCCCAAGGCTGATTAAGAAGCCGCAGCCGGAGGCGCTGGTCGGGCTGCGGGGCCCAAAGCCCCCGTTATTACATCGGGCACGTCAGCGGCCGCCTGTAAAAGCCGGCCACGTCTCTGAAGACCCATTCTCTGCCCAGCGCCCTGCGCAGCGCCAAGCTCCCATGGGCCCTGCAGCCTCTCCCCAGCACCTCGGCCTTCCCACCGTGGCTGGGGCCTCCGGAGACCCAGCGGGAGGTGCTGAATTCTCGGCCGGCCAGGGCGCCTTCGTGCGGCTGTGCGAGGCCGGGCTCTGAGCCGAGCTGCTCCAGGCTAGGTGTCCCCGGACGGGCTGGGAGCCGCGCACGGGGACCACTGCTGACACAGCTCCATCCTCTGCTGTGTCGCCAGCCCAGCGGCAGGTCCCCGGGCCTCTGTTGCAAAGTCCTAGAAAGCTCAACAGCACGGCCCCTCCTCCCCGGTCAGCCGCGTTCTGGGGACATGACCCAGTCCGTCTCTTCTCGGTCCGTCCATCCGCTCGGCACCCGGCCGTCAGGACTGCTGGCCGTTCACCAGCCCTGTGTCCCCAGCTGTCAGCCACCCCCAAAGGGGCAAGAACTCTTCCCCCCTCTCTACACCCAGAGCCTGTCTCCTGGGGAGACCCAGTGAATGTTGAGTGGGTGTTCCCATGACTGAGAGATGAGGGAATGGGTGAGGGCAGAGGGGAGGACCGCCTGTTTCCATAAGCGCCAACCCAGGGAGGCACAGAGGACAAGGAGCCCCTACAGGTTGGGAGAGAAGGGTGAGGAAACAGTCAAGGAAGGCTTCCTGGAGGAGGTGACAGCTCACCGAGCCCCGGAGGAAGAGAATAAACTGGGCTGGTGCAAGGGGGTGCTGTCCGCGGAGCTGGGGCAGCCCATGTGGAGCTGTTGGAGGGAGCTGTGGTTTGTGTAGTCGGCTGGGTGGGTGGATCCGGAATAGACAGAGCAGGGCAGGCGTGCGGCCCCGAGCCCTGGGATGCCAGGGCACCAGGGGCAGGCCAGGGAGCGCTCCCTCCCGCTGCCTGGAACGAAGAGACCGCGTCCTTGGGGCTCTGGCTGTCCAGCTGCTGCCCGGCTTCCCAGGGTGCCACGTGCAGGCGTTACTTGGTTTCGAGTTTCTGGGAAAGAAGCCGCCTGCCCTGTGGCATCGTCAGCCCTCGGATGCAGTGAGGCGAGAGGCGGGGCCGCCAGTCACGGCCAGGGCCGCCCCCGCCCCGCGTCCGCGCTGTGGCAATGCGAGGCAGAGACAGGCGGGCAGCCCGGGAGGACCCCCTGGGCCTCAGTCCCCGCCCTCCGCCCCGTGTCAGATGTGCGTCCGCCCCCCCCCCCCTCCGAGCGCTTTGGTCCAGGGATCTGCGCCCCCAAAGCCTTCGCGGCCGTAGAGTCCCGGCTCCTCCTGGAACTCAGCTGCCCCTTGGCACTGTCCCCTCCCGGCTCTGTCCTTGCACAAGGTGTTCAGCAGGCCTGTGCCGCCTCTGAGCTGCCCACCTTGGCCACCTCGCAGGTCCGGGGCGTCACGGTGGCCTGAGCCGCAGGCGGCCGTGACCCTGTGTCCTGCCAGCAGTCTGCCCTGTGACGCGGGAGCAGAGGGGCGAGGGGGTGGCCCCTGTGTGCCCAGGGCCGCAGAACAGCCTCGGGCAGAGCCGTGTCCGGACTCCGGGGCTGTGCGTGCGCCAGGTTGACAGGGACTGTGAGTGCCAGGCGCCCGTTCCCTCGGGGCGCTCGTGTCCTGGGGACAGCCCGCCCCTTTGTACGGCCATTGCCCTCACCAGCAGAGCCCGCTCTTCCGAGTGCCCCCAGCGGGTGCCCAGGTGCGGAGAGGTGAGTGTCGTTAGCACACCCATCTCACAGGTGAACAGACTCAGAAAGGCTCGGATAGGGCCCCGCCCAGGACTCAGAGCCCCGCCCCGTCTGGCCGCACAGCAGGAGGCTCCCCCAGGGAGGGGTCTGCGAGGGGCCGTGTGGCTGCACAAGCAAAGGGCCTGGGGCACGGGGCAGGGGGCAGGGCGCTCCTTCTGTCTCCCGGTCTCTCTGCCCCAGTTTCTCCTTTCCGGTCTCTCCGTGTCTCTCCCCTGGGATCTCTCTCGCTCTCCCCCTCGCACTGTGTCTGTGTGTCCGTGTCCCTGGCCCTGTGGTTCCTCCTCTCTGTCTCTGTACAGCGCCCTCTCCCTGCCCCCACTAGAGGGTTCTCTGAGCCCCACGCCGCCTGCCTCTAACGCTCGCCCCTCTCTCCCTGTCCGTGTCTGTGTCCGTGTCCGTTTGTCCTGGGCTGCCCCGCAGCGGCCGAGCTGCGGCTATGCCCTGTGCACCGTGCTGCTGGCCCTGGCCGTGCTGCTGGCCGTGGCCGTCACCGGCACCGTCCTCTTCCTGAACCACGCCCACGCGCCGGGCACGGCGCCCCCGCCCGTGGTCAGCACGGGGCCGGCTGGGGCCAACAGCGCGCTGGTCACCGTGGAGAGGGCAGACAGCTCACACCTGAGCATCGTCATCGACCCGCGCTGCCCTGACCTTGCCGACGGCTTCGCCCGCCTGGAGGGCGCCCAGGCCTCCGTGCTACAGGCGCTGAGCCAGCACCAGGCCCAGCCGCGGCGGGCGGGCGAGCAGGAGCAGGAGCTGCTGGACACGCTGGCCGAGCAGCTGCCCCGGCTGCTGGCCCGGGCCTCGGAGCTGCAGGCCGAGTGCGCGGGGCTGCGCAAGGGCCACGGCTCCCTGGGCCAGGGGCTCAGCGCCCTGCAGCACGAGCAGGGCCGGCTCATCCAGGTAAGAGGGCTGGGGTCTCTGCTCCTGGGGCTGCCCCTCCCCAGGGTCTGGGGCAGGGGGTCTGGGCTCAGGGCGGCTGCTGTTCTCACCCGCAGACAAAGCCGTGAGGCTCAGAGAGGCGAAGCGTCTCATCCCAGGCCACACAGCCCCGGGGAGCCAGGATTCGAACCCAGGGTCCGTCCCATGCTCTTTGCCGCTGGCCCTGGCTATTTAGCACCTGTGGCCCCGTATCTATCAGCAGCAAACCAGGCCTGGCGCAGGGAAGTCCCGAGGGTGCTGCTGGGTCTGGGCCAGGGGTCTCTGCCGTGGGCTCCGCGGTCACACCCCACACCCCAGCGACACAGGAGCAGGGATCTGTTCCCACCATTTGCCCGACTGAACGTGGTGGCCCAGGTCACTTGTCCCGGGTCCCAGGGCCATCCCTGCACAGCCTCAGCCGCTGCCACGTCACCCGAGTGACTCATATCCTTAGGGGCAGGGGCCAAGGCCCTGCCGCCCCCCACCCCACCCCGGACACCCAGGATGACCCGGCTTCTCCCCTCCGGGCGCTACAGCTGGTGACCGCCAGAAAGGTGCTCCCACCCCGGCCCGCCCACAGCGGCTGCAGCTTCCTGCCGGCTCCCCAGCAGGCCCGGGGGGTCTCTAGATTCCTGGGTGACCAGGGGCTCCCAACTCCCCCCGTGGCCCCGCCCCCACCCCGGACCCACGAGACTAATAGCTTTGCTGGGCGCACAGCGGCCGGCTTGCCTGATGTATTTCCTTCTGCAGACGTGTCGGAGTTGACGCGTGTGCCACAGACTCCAGATGAGTCCAGAGCCCGAGTGTCTGTGTCTCGTGCAGAGGCAGCCAGCCGTGTCTCCTCATTCCTCTCCCAGCGTCACAGACCCCAGCTGCCAGCCCGGGGTCTCAGAGCAGTGCCCACAGCACCCTGGGTGCTGGATGAGAGGCAGGGTCCTGGGTCTCTGGCCCCCCCTGGCCGCTGACCCCAGTGCGGGGAGGGAGGGGCGTGCCTGAGGCTGGGCTAGGCTGAGCCAGGCTGCCCTGAGACCTGGACTCCTGGCCGGGCCCCGCCCGCAGCAGCTGGGGGACCCTGGGCAGGCAGGAGGAGCCCCCTCCTCACCTGCCAAGAGAGGACAACACAGCCCGGGCCAGGGCTGCTGACCTGGGGCCTTGGCCCGCGGCTCCTGGCACGTGGGAGGTACTGTGCCACCCTGTGTGCCCAGCTCTTTGCTAACCTGGCAACCTCCCAGGAACCCCAGGAGTCGGGTGAGTCTGTGACCCCATTTTGTGGAGGGGCAGACTGAGGCTTGGTGGCAGAAGCAGCCGCCCTGATTGCGCAGTGCACCGCTCAGCAGGCGGGCCCCATGCGCACGTTAGCTTGTGGCAAGTTTGTGTGGGCGTTTTAAAGACGAAGCCGGGGAGCAGAGGGCAGGGGGCACTGGGCCCGGGTTTCTCCAGGTCTCAGACGGCTGGGCTGAGCTGGGGAGACTTAACCTGGAGTCTTACCATACCCCCCACACTCCCAACAGCGGCTGCCCGGCGCCCCCTGGGGGCTGCCCTGCCCCCTCCCCTCGTCCCAGACCCAGCCCTCCCTGAATCAAGGGGACCAAGAGCTTTGCAGGGGTGGGGGCCCTGCCTGGCTGAGCCGGGAGCCCTTTCCCAGGTGTGCTTCTAGTTCTCTTCCTCCAGGGGGCGCTGGTCTGCCACGTGACAGGCTCAGGCCACGAAGACCCTGGTGCTGGCTGGTGGCCTGGGCTGCCCTGACCCTGCCTCCCCCTCCTCGTGGTGCTGCCTCCCCCTGGAGCCCCGGGGTGGGGAGAGGACAGACCCTAGACAACTCGGGCAGTGGCCAGAGCCAAGAGGCCCCAAGGGCCCTGACCTGGGGTGCTCCAGACCCCAGGCCTGTGATGGGGTGGGGGGTGAGCAGTGGACAGAGCAGCCGACCCCTCCAGCGTCCAACCGCACCCCAGCGCTCCCCACTGCAAGCAGACTGGGAGGGGTGGCTCTTGCGGGCTCCTGCAGAGAGGGGGTGGGGTCCCAGCTCAGCCTGGGTGCCTACGGCTGCCCTGCCTTACCCTACCCTGGCCCTAGGGAAGTGGCCAGAGGCCATTCACCCTCAGGGACCTCTCCTGCTGGGCCTCAGTTTCCCCATTTGTAACAAGGAAGTGATAACGCCAGTCCTAGCTCTTCTCGGCGGGGTGGGGGTGGGGGTGGGGGTGGGGGGACAGTGAGGTGGTGGACGTCCCAGAGCCACAGACACTCAAAGCCCTGAGGGTGTGGGGGTGGGGTCCTCGTTCCTCGTTGCCCGAAGCCTCCCGTGTGCCCCTGAGTAGTGGCCCCTCACTCACAATCTTCCTTAAGGATCAGGGGACAGCAGTGGGGGGCGCTGTGCGGCTTGGCTGGGGGGAGAGGGTGACATTAGCCCCGTTTCTCGGATGAGGTGGAGCCTGGGAAAGGCGCTCACCACATGGGTGAGCGAGGGTAGAATCCAGCACGGCATCTTCCCGGCCACCTCGTCTGGCTGAACGCCCAGGACTGTCCCCAGACCAGGGCTTGGGGGCGGCAGTGCCTGCTGGAGTCCCCCGCCCTCTGAGCCCCGGAGGTCCCCGCCCAGCTGACCCCTCAGATTGCCTGGACAGAGACCTAGGGCCGGGGCGGGGCGGGGCCGCACGGAGGCCGCCTGCCCCCTGCTGACCCCTGCTGCTCTGTGCAGCTTCTGTCCGAGAGCCAAGGCCACATGGCTCACCTGGTGACCTCGGTCAGCGACGTCCTGGACGCCCTGCAGAGGGACCGGGGGCTGGGCCGGCCCCGCGTCAAGGCCGATCTTCAGAGAGCACCTGCCAGGGCCGCCCGGCCCCGGGGCTGTGCCAGCGGTGAGTGTGCCGGGGGGCTTCCTTCCTCCGGTGACCTGGGCGTGCAGGGAGGCAGGGAAAGCTGGGGCCCAGCCCTGCTCCCGTGGGGCCCATGCCCTGTCCCTGCACCCTCGCGTCCAGCACACAGCTGGGCCTCCTCACCCTGCGCTGCGACGGCCAGGGTGCCCATTTTGCAGACGGGGAAGACGAGGCTCGGGGTGACTGGTGCAGTGAGGGCAGAATGAAAGCCGGTACTCTAGCCCAGGTGACCCCGCGTGACGGCGTGGGGCGGGGCGGGGTGGGGGCGTGGACTTCGGCCTGACCGCCCTCCCCCGCCTCAGGCTCTCGGCCCCGGGACTGCCTGGACGTCCTCCTGAGCGGGCAGCAGGACGACGGCGTCTACTCCATCTTCCCCACGCACTACCCCGCCGGCTTCCAGGTCTACTGCGACATGCGCACGGACGGCGGAGGCTGGACGGTGAGTCTCGGCACGGGGAGGCCCGGGGCGGGGGGGGGGTGCCTGAGCGGCCCCTCACCCACGGAAGCCTGAAGCGGTGGCCGGGGCTTTGTGCCCCGAGGGAGCGGCGCCCGCACCTGCTACCCCGCCTCTGAGCTGCCCAGGTCCTGGTTCTCCGGGAGGCGCTGGGTGCAGCCTGCTGCTGGTGGGACTCCCGGGGGCTGTGGGGGCAGAGACCCCCTGACTTCCGGGACAGGAGCCGTCCAATTCCTGTCTCCTGGTCTCTGCCCCGGCTGGGAAATGGTGGCCGTGGAATGTTCTAGCTGCCCCTCAAAGGGCGGGGTACAGGCAGGAAGGGGACAGCGGCCCCGGTTGGAGGACCCTGGAGCAGGGTGGGCGTGCGGGCGCATGGGAGGCCCTGCGGGCTTCGGTCTGCGTGGGTCGGTGTGGGCTGGCTGTCTCCGGGCAGCGCCCCACGTCCGCTTTTGCAGGGAAATGGGACACAGGAGCCAGGCTCGGGCGTGGCTTCCTTCCCAGGCTTTCCGTGTAGACGCTGAAATTCGCGCTGCAGGAAATTTGTTGGATTCTCCCTGCAGTATTATTTAAAGCATATTTTTAAGAAGTCTGCGGGGACAGGTGCTGCGGCGCCGTGGGTGAAGCCGCTGCTTGTGGTGCCCGCGGCCCAAATGTGAGGGCCTAGGTTCGAATCCCAGTTCTGCTTCTTCTTTTATTTTTTTTTATATTTTTTTATTTTTTTGACAGGCAGAGTGGACAGTGAGAGAGAGAGACAGAGAGAAAGGTCTTCCTTTTTGCCGTTGGTTCACCCTCCAATGGCCGCAGCAGCTGGCATGCTGCAGCCGGCGCACTGCGCTGATCCGATGGCAGGAGCCAGGTGCTTCTCCTGGTCTCCCATGGGGTGCAGGGCCCAAGCACTTGGGCCATCCTCCACTGCACTCCCAGGCCACAGCAGAGAGCTGGCCTGGAAGAGGGGCAACCGGGACAGAATCCGGCGCCCCGACCGGGACTAGAACCCGGTGTGCCGGCGCCGCAAGGCGGAGGATTAGCCTAGTGAGCCGCGGCGCCGGCCCCAGCTCTGCTTCTGACCCAGCTTCCTGGTGAGGCTCGCCCTGGGAGGCAGCAGACAGTGCCTGGGCCCCCGCCGCCCTCCTGGGAGACCGGGGTGGGGCCCCTGGCTCCTGGCTTTGGCCTGGTCCAGCCCTGGCTATTGCGGGCATTTGGGGAGTGAATGAGATATCTCTCTGCCTTTGAAACAAATAAGAATAAATAAACTTAAAGAAATAAATAAGAATTCCTCTTTTGATCTTTTTTTAGCCACTTAAACAGTCCACGCCATCCTTAGCTCCCGTGCTGTGCACACGGCAGCAGCAATGGTCCCGTGGGCGGTGCGGTGCCGACCGCATCCCGCATCCTGGAGCCGGGATTGCTGACTGACAGCGGGAAAGGGGCTGACCGCCCCCTCCCCAAAATGGACGGCTTCTGACCCTCTGGGGGCTCGGGCTCGACGTTGGGGCTTAGCAGGGACACTGCTGGCTGCTGTTTGATTTTGTGCAGAACTTTGCGTTTTATTTACTCGAGAGGCAGAGACAGAAAGAGAAGCCGCCCATCTGCTGGTTCACTCCCCAAATGCCACCGAGAGCTGGGGCCGAAGCCAGGAATCGGGGGCGCGACCAGGGTCTCCCCTGTGGCTGTCGGGGCTCAGCTGCTTACGCCATCACCTGCTGCCTCCAGGGTGCACAGGGAAGCTGGAACGAGAGAGAAGCCGAGACTCAGACCCAGGATGTGGGATGAGGCGGGGGCTCATGGAGGAGGGGTCACCCTAAGTAGGGCCTGGCGTCAGAGGGCCCGCGGCATGTTCGGGGGACAATCGGCTGGGGTGTGCGGCACGTGAGGGGCCATCCTGTCGGGATCCCAGGCTGCAGAGTTTGGGACGGGCGCTGGAGAGCCATCGAGGGTGTTGGACAGAGGAGAGCTGGAGGGGGTGTTTCCCGCATCCTCGGCAGGTGTGCGCGGGCGCCCTCTGCTGGCGAGAGGGGAAACCACCTGCTTGAGCTCTGTCATCCACGGGCGGCTCTCATCTGTGTGATGGTGGGCGATTACCTAAGTTCCCAGAGCCTGGGTTTCCTGAGCTGTGAAGTGGGGAGACCCCCCACCCCACCCTGCACCACGTGGAGCTCTAGAGAGCCGCACAGGAGTGTGCCACGGGGACACTGGGGGACTGGAGACACCAGCACAGCAGAATGAGAAACCCCCCAGGCCAGGCCGGGGCAGGGACCCCAATGCCCCAGGGCCACGGCCACGGGGTGCCGGCCACGCAGCTAGACTGGGCCATGGACACGCCCCGCCAGGTCGGGTGCAGGCCTGGGGTGCAGCCATGCGGTTGCTTTGCAGCTGTGCCTCCCGCGGCTGCTCTCGGCTCCCCTGGCTGCTGCCTCCATTCGTGGGGCCCCCGAGGGTGGGGCCTGCAGCCCTTACTGACAGGGAGGATACCCAGGCTTCGCGGGATTGACCTCAGCTTCCGCCGCTAGCGTTTGCAAAGTGTTTTGCTCTGTGTCTGGAAGCTGTGTGACCCCCATTGAGGACAGTGGGGGCCCCACTCTGTGCAAGGCACTGGCAGACACACCGAGACCCCAGATCCTGGAGCTCCACCCTAGGAGGGAGGTCCCGGCGCTCCAGAGAGCAGGCCCTGGTGGGGGCAGGGGCGGGGGGATCAGCTCTCTCCAGGGTGCCCACGTGGCAGCATCCCTGGTCCCCAGTCTTGGACTTGGTTTCTCATCACAGAGCGGCTCTGGACTGTTTTGGTCTGTTGATGTCCAGGCCGGCGAGCACGCCGGAGAGAAGGGTCCCAGCAGGTAGAGTGAGTGACCAGGCAGGGAGGCGAGAGGCAAGGCTCTGGGAGCCAGCTGTGAGTGGGATGCGAGGGTGAGTGGCCGGGGCGGTTTGGAGAGGGGTCAGCCTACCCAGCAGAGACGGGATGCGGGCAGGGGCGAGGGGAGGCGGTGGTGGGCCCAAGGCAGCCATTAGGAGGCAGCCAGAGAGCAGGTGAGAATCCCCCCTCCCAGAGGCTCCCCAAGGCAGACATCCCCGTGCACCTGCCTCGGCCCCGGAGGGGGCTTTTCCGTGCGCCGGCTCCGTGTGTCTGCGGCTGCAAAGTGCTGTTTCCCTAAGAAGTCTGAGTTATTGCCCCTGCCTCTGGGACGCCCCGGGCGGGCCAGGAATCGGAGTTCCGGCAGCTTCTCGTGCCTCGCTCGCCATGGACCTGAGCCGGTCTCCCGGGCGACGAGAGGGGCCTCCAGGAGGAGTGCCCGCACCTGCCGCTGAAGCTCTGGAAGGGAGCCTGGTCTGTCTCGGAAGTGCCCGCCCGGCCGACAGCCGTTAATATCCATTTGGGCTTCCGTCAGAAGCAATCTTGGCCCGGCCGCCGCCGGACATCTGTCAGGATCACCTCCCTGCCACCCGGCATCTCGCGGAAACTCCATCGTTGTTTGGGAAGGAGCCGGCCGCCGCCTGTGCAGGCCCCCACGCCATCCATCCTCATTAGGTCCCCTGTCCAAACCACAGGCCTCGGGCACCGGCCCCCGGTGGCCACCCCTGGAGGACAGGGCACCTGCAGCCCGGCAGGCGGCACCTTCCGGCCAGTGAGGGCTTAGCTGCCTGCCCACTGAAGGGCCGCTGCCCAGCGTGGAGGCCACGGCCCCTGCTGCACCGGAGGCTGGCAGGGCAGGCCCAGACATCGTGGACTCCACGGTCAACGCCGTGGCACTCACGGGTTCAGACGCTGAGCCTCAGTGGGTGCCAGGCATGGGGTGTCCACAGCAAGCACCCAGAGAGGGATGAGTCCAGGGCAGGGCCCCGGAGGGCGGCCCGGGAAGGGGTGAGCCGAGTGGGCTCCTGCTGCACGCTCACAGGATGTCCACTGGGACCCAGCGACCCAGGCCGCCATGGCTGCGGGCTGCTCAGGAAGAGGGAAGCCCCCTGGCCCTGGGTCCTTGGCTCCCTGCAGTGGGAGGCCCCGGCGGGCAGGTGGATGCTTGGCCGAGCAGGCGCTGAGCCAAAGTCCTTCTCCCCTCCCCCAAGCATGCCCAGAGGCCGGAGGTCACCGTCAAGGTCACTCGAATGCCTGAGGCTCCCACCTGTACTCCAGAAGAGGGGGAGAAAGGCGGGAAAGGGAAGGGTGCCCCCTCCAGCCACCGACTGTGGCGCCGTGGCCAGGAGCCCCTCCCTGCTGCGCCCGCCCTGCTTGGTCATCCTGCACCTTCCTCGCGCCCATCAAGGGGCCACAGCTGGGCTCCCGCTGCCCGGCTGAGCTCTGGGGGCGGGGACTGCACACAGCACCCCCCCACCTCCCCCGCCCCGCCCTGAGCGCTTGCCATTGAAGCCCTTGGGCAGGGTCACCTCGCTCTTCTCATCTGTTGAATGGGGCTATTGTCACAGATGCGGGTAAGTCAGAATTCTTCATAGGCTGCTTTTGGGGAGGGGGTTCCCGGTGAATAGAGGAGGCGGTCCTGCCCGGTGGGATCTCAGAATCACGCTGCATTTGTGAGGCGGAGGGAGTTCATAAAAATCGAGGCCCAAGTTCCTCTTGCGGAAGGCGACATTCGTGGACCTGCGCTGGCGGTCCCGGCTCACCTCCCGTGCCCCTGCGGAGTGGGACTGAGCCCTGTTCCTGCCTGGAGACCCCCACGCCGTGGCTCGTCTGGCCGGGAGGGGGGGCGCACCTGCGGAAGGCGAGGCCGTGCGCGGAACCCACTGCGGGTGTGCGTGGGAGGAAGGAGGGGCTCCGCTCGCTCGCTGGGCACCCCGCACGGCCTCGCCCCCTGCGGCCCTCCCCGGCCGCGGGTGCCCCGCTGAGCTCCGCCGCGGGCGGTGCTGCCTCCCAGGTTCGGCTTCTCAGAACTGCCCGGCCCCGCGCTGCGCGCCTGGAGCCCCGGCGTGGCTGCCTTCGGCGTTTCCCGCGCGGGGTCGGCGGGGTCCGCGACCCCTCTAATTGGCTCCGCGGCCAGAGAAGGCGCCCCGTGCCCCTCCCTGAGCTCCCCCGGCGGGAGGAACATCAAAGGACCTCGCTGGTGGATCCAGCGCAGAGAGAGGGCAAAGCTCGCCGCCGGGCCCCTGCGCGCGCGGCAGGACAGCGGGGTCCACCGCGCGGGATGCGCCCAGCGGCAGTGGGGCGGGCAGCTGCCGTGCCGTGGCCAGTGTCCCCGCGCCGCGGCCCCTGTGCCTGGGAGCCTCCCTTCCGGCTCTGGGTGGGGACAGCAGTTGGGGTTCCTCGAACTTTGCGTATAGAGCATCAGGCACGTGGAGCGCTCAGCCCGGTGCCCGAGGCGGCTCCGCAGCGAGAAATGGCATCGCCGGGGGTGCTTTGCCAGGAGCCGGCAGGCGCTGGCTGCCAGCTGGGAAGCAGGGCAGGGCGCCAAGCCCGGGGGTACCATTTCCAGTCGAAAACAAGGAGTGGGCCCGGTTCCCTTCTGGGCGCGGCAGCTGGCTCTGCAGGGGAAGCGGTGACGGTGGCCAGCGTGCCCAGCCCTGCAGGGGGGAGGGGGAGACAGAGAGGGAAACTGAGGCTCGGGGCGTCACAGGGCTGGTGAGTGCCACAGCCTTGTCCCACAGCCCGTGCTGTGGCCGGCGAGCCTGGAGGCCTCCCCGTGTACTGCCCGGAGGTGACTAGAAAGGACTGGGGACAGTGGCCCCCCAGGACTGTGCGCAGAGCCCCCCACCCACCTGTGGCATCTGGCCTGGACTCCCTCATCTCCCATTCCTTGGGTCTCAGCTCCTCCTCTGCCTGCCTGGCAAGGCCTTGCCCAATCAGCACCCAGCGGAGCGGCTCCTCCTCCAGGAAGCCCTCCACGCTGGGGCATTCTTTCCACCTGAGCGTCCAGCAGGCATCAGAACAAGGACTGTTGTCGTGTGGCTTGAGTGCCCCTCTCTCCTGGGGCCGGAGCTGAGCTCACGCAGGGCCCCACGCAGCCATGCCTTAGTGGTTTTTTTTTGGGGGGGGGGCGCCCGTGGCACCAGACTCTGCAGAGGTCGCCCCATTCCCCAGCCTCAGTCTTCTCATCTGCCCAAGGGGCGCATGCCCCACCTCTGGGCAGGGCGGCAGCGGGGAGGGCTGGCCTGATGCTCGGGACGCCGTTCCTTGCTCTCAGTGCTGTGGCAAAGGAGGAGCCACCTGGGCAGGGCGTGGACTGGACCCGCGTGTGCAGAACTCGAGGCTAAAGTTCTGGCCCACAGCCCCCAGACCCCGTGACACGGGACCGTCAGCCACCTTTCTCTGAAACCACCCGGCGCCATCTGCGGGACCACGTGGGCCCGGGCTCCCTTGGCAGAGCCCCTAAGCGGCGGCGGCGGCGGCAGGCGCTGGCACGGAGCAAAAGCGCGCCGTCTGCCTTCCCACTCGTGGCGCCGGCCCAAGAGGCCTCGGCGGCGGCCGGCATCTCCCCAGCAGCGGCCTCCCAGCCTGAGCCTGGTGGGGAAGCCGCCAGGGAGCTGAGCCACGAATCCTTTGGCCTGCAGGTGCACCCCCCTAACTGGGGATTCCGGGGTCTGCGTCTCCCCAAGTCCCTCCCGGTGGCCCCTGCCCAGCCCATCCTTGTCCCGTAATTAGAGGCCTCTATGCTCGGCGACATCCTCACGTCCCGGTCACTGAAAGCCAGCTTGTTTCTAGAAATCCGTCGGACCAAACGGAAGACCCCAGCCAGTCAGTGCCACACAGGCTTTCATCAGGCCAGAGGCATGGCTGGGCTCGCCTGACGGGGACCTCAGCACACATGGACTTCACGGGCCATGGTCTCAGACGCAAGACAGGTGCAGCCCACTGTCGGGCCGAGGGTCAGACTGCTCTCTCTGCCATGCACACATGGCCCCTTGACCTCTGGCCAATGTCCCGTGGGTGCTGGGCACACGGAACCCCAGCCAAGGCCGGGTCTGCGGCTCCGGGCTATCAGCGGTCACCTGCTGTGAGCCAGCCCCCCACCCCCAGCTTATTTTCAGTGGACTGACACGGCTCGAAGAGGCTGTTACGATGTCCGTTCTACAGATGAGGAATCGGGGCTGCAGGGCCAGGCTCCCCCGCCGCTGGGCCAGGCCATCACGCGTGGCCGGCCCCTCCCGCTGGCAGGTGCAGGCCCGGGCTGCCCGCTGCCTCCTCTGGGGAGCGCCTGAATTTCTCCAGGATTAAGCCTTTCAAAGGGCGCGTGCTCGGGGTCCCAATCCTCAGCCGTCAATACGACTCTCAGATCTCCCGGAGCCGGATCGAATTTCCTCCCGCCCCAGCCCCTCCCTCCCGCGAAGACTTTCAACTTGCGGTGGAGAAGGGAGCCGCGTCCTCTCGCTCGGGCTCCCTGACGTCAGCGATGGCCCCGAGGCCGGGACCCACGCGTCCCCGCGGCGCAGGCAGGCACGCGGGCGGCTCCGAGCCACGAGCTCAGGCGGCTCCGTAATGAGAGTGGCGGCTGGCGGGCACCGCGGCCAAATCTCAACGACTCAGACGCCGCACAGATGGAGGCGGGCGCTCCCCCTTGCCAACCGCGGCGACGGCAGTGGAGCAGGGGGAGGCTGTGAGACAGAGGGGCTGGGCAGCTCGGGCGGCCAGCGTGCTGCTCCCCGAGAGCGGTGTGAGCCAGGGGCTCCCCACTCCCGGTCGTGGCTGCCGTTAAAGCAGGAAGCAGAGGCGCCATCCGCCCCACCAATCCCCGTCGCGGCCGGGCTTCTGTTACTTGGGGAGGGGGCTGACGGAGGATGGGGCTGTGGAGGCCAAGCCAGTGGTGGGTGCGGGATGGTGATTTGTTTTTGAAAACTAGAGAGTGGGTTATCAGTATCTTTTTGTTTTGTTTTGTTTTTGAAAGGCAGAGAGAGAGAGAGAGGTGTCTTCCATCCACCAGTTCACCCTCAAATGCCCGTGACAGCTGGAGCTGGATAGGCCAAAGCCAGGAGCCAGGAGCTCATCCTGGTCTCCCATGAGGGAGTCCTTGGGCCATCTTCTGCCGCCTCCCAGGTGGCAGGAAGCTGGATGAGAAGCAGAGGCAGAATTTGAACCCAGGTTCTCCGATATGGGAGGTGGGGATCCAAGCAGCAGCTTAACTCTGCACCCCAGCGCCCGGCCCCCCCCCCCCGGTTTTAGTTTTGACCTGGAAAGAGATTGCAGAGTCCTTGCCCACCGCTACGCTCTGTTTGGCCAGTGGGGAAACTGAGGCCCAGAGCAAGGACAAGGCCAGCACAGGTTCCCCACCGGAGGCCGCCGAGCTGCCTCCAGGCTGCCCCAGTCCATGGGGACATTGCGGGACCTGTGAATGCTGGGTCAGCCCCGCATCAGGCCACCACTCCTGAGCTGCTGGGGCCAGAAGAAGCCCTCGTAGGGCTGGGGAGGCCCGGCTCTGCCCTGCCCGACCGGAGGGAGCGCACAGGGCAGGCTGGGCGCGGGGCTGAGGCTCTCCATCCTGGTCTCCCTCACAGGTGTTTCAGCGCCGGGAAGACGGCTCCGTGAACTTCTTCCGGGGCTGGGAGGCATACCGGGACGGCTTCGGCAAGCTCACGGGCGAGCACTGGCTAGGTGAGAGGTGCCAGGCACAGTGGGACCCCAGCCCCCTCTACACAGTTCCCCTGACCGCAACACACCAGAGCCGGCTCCCAGATGTCACTCGTGGCGGTGACCGAGGTGTCGCAATGAACAGGAATGGAGCCAGAGGGAGTGAGGACCACGTGGCTGCTCTGCTGGGCAAGCCCTTACCCAGGGGGAGGGGGCTGTCCGGGACCCCCTGCTTCCCGGGACGCTGGGCAGGAGGAGGGGGCTGCAGAGAGCAGGGGACGCCCAGGGCCTGTCGGGATCAGCAGGCACCATGAGGACCAGGGATGACCCTGGCACTGCCCCGCCCTTGGGGTCAGCAACAGCTGATGGCTTTGCTGGGGACACCACGCTGGGACCCTCCCGGGAGCGGTGCCCTGGCTCTTTTTGAGTGCTGTATTTGGTTTCATTGCAAACAATACCAGGCGGCGTGGAGAGTGTGGGAGACAGCATCTCGCTCTGCCCACACCTCCCTGTGCGTCTCCGCTCTCCCAGCCACCTGCTCACTAAGTGCTTTGTCCTTTCCTATTGAGTTATGGGTGCTCTTTGTATATTAAGGCTATCGACCCTGCGTCCATAGGAGAGACAGATATTGACAGTGAGCCGATTCCCTTCCGGCTCCCTCCGCGCACACCCCGCCCCCCACCACTCTGGCTTTTGTGGTCACAGTATCACTCATTTCCTACAAGCTTTAAATGTTGTAGTTTTTATTTTTGTTAAAGATTTGTTTATTTATTTGAGAGGCAGTGTTACAGAGAGGCAGAGGCAGTGACAGAGGGGTCTTCTATCTGCTGGTTCACTCCCCAGTTGGCCGCAAAGGCTGGAGCTGAGCCGATCCGAAGCCAGGAGCTCCCTGTGGTCTCCCACGCGGGGGCGGGGGCCGGGCACTTGGCCCATCTTCGGCTGCCTTCCCAGGTGCATTAGCAGGGAGCCGGATCGGAAGCGGAGCAGCTGGGACTCCGATTTGAGCACCAGCACAAGCCGCAGCTTGAACCTGCAGTGCCGCAAGCCGGCTCCCTGTTGTCTCCGAAGCTTCTTTAATGTTGGGAGCTGGGTTCAGATCCTGCACCCCTCTGTCGCTTGCTGGGGTGACCACGTGAGCTTCGGGGTCCAGGGCTTTTCCTCGCCACCAGCTCCTTCTCCCTTGAACTCGGAGGGGCTGCAGGGCAGGATCCTGGTCTCCCTGCAGGGGTGTCCGGGGGCTTAGGAGGAGCAGCTACCGTGGCTGGGGCTGGAGGAGCCTGGGGAGCTGGGGGGTGTGAGGAAGGGAGGGAGGAGGCGCGGGCTGCAGGCAGGACAGGGTTGGGGGGGACCCCAGAGGAGCCCAGAGCCCTGACAGCTCCACAGCCCGGAGAGCCGAGTGTGTTAACCCCAGCGGACACGTAGAGGTGGGAAGGAGACTCCCGGCGGCCCCACTGGGCGCGTCTCCTCCTGCCCTGTCCCCGCATCCCAGGACTGGTCCTGGGGAGCCTGGGTGCAAGTCACAGCTCCACCCCGCAGCTGCGTGCCCTGCCCCAGGTGCTCCAGCCTGGGGAGATGCAGGGAGGGTCCCTGGGGAGAGGCGGCCGATGCCTGGAGGAGCCCAGTGTGCTCTGATTGTTGCCAGCATCTGGCAGATGCCCCAGAGGCAGGGGTCACACAGCCCTCATGGCCCAGGAGCCCACACGCGCTGCCACATGGGCACCAGGGAGCCGGGCAGGGACAAACCGATGGCATTGAATCAAATGTCCTCTTAATCAAGAGGCAGGGGACACCTTGTGTGTGGGGGGGGAGGGACCCAGATGGGCACAGGACTGCAGAGGGGCCACAGGGGCTGGCACGTGGGGGCGTGGAGCCAGCCCTGGGGACCACTGGGGTGCAGGAAGTGTCTGCTGTGCCCCTCCCTCTCCACAAGCCAGTACCTGCTATGCAGAGGCTGGGGCAGCCCTGCCCAGGACAGGCACGTGGCTCTCCTGGGGCCCTGAGACCGGCAAGGAGGCAGCGGGGGCTCAGGACGATCAAAACCTGGGGTGGGGGGGGCACCAGGGTCAGCAGAGGAATCCTCACCCTGACGGGGGCGGGGCCGCCTTCCCAGGAGGCGGAGCTGAGCGTGAACAGAAGGGAGCCAGTAGGGACCAGCATGGGCTCAGAGGTCAGACTTGGGGAAGTGTGCGTGCCAGGTCCTGCTGGCGCCCGCCAGTCCTTCCGTCAGCCGTGTGCGCAGAAGCGTGGCCCAACCTAAAGCGAACAGAGAAGACCCAGCGGGGAAAACCATCCGTCTGTTCCCCGCCTGACGCAGGCTGCAGGAAGGAGGAAGTAGCCCTGCTGGCAGCACGTACTTGGTGGCCGCCGTCCCCACAGGGCTCAGCTCGGGTCGCTCCTCCGGTCTCTCTAGCCGGGCCCCCTCCCCAGCCCCGCGGCCTCTCCCACCGCTCTGTCCCCAACTCAGGCCTCAAGAGGATCCACGCCCTGACCACCCAGGCCGCCTACGAGCTGCACGTGGACCTGGAGGACTTCGACAACGGCACGGCCTACGCCCACTACGGGAGCTTTGGCGTGGGCCTGTTCTCCGTGGACCCCGAGGAGGACGGGTACCCGCTCACCGTGGCCGGCTACTCGGGCACTGCAGGTGGGGCCCTGGGGCCGTGGCACGGGTGGAGATGGTGGGGGGGGCGCCAGATCAAAGCCTGCCACGCTGGGGTCAAGGTCGAGGCTGCTGGCCTCCACCTCCAGGGCCCTCTTGGTGCTCACGCCCACTTTTCAGATGAGGAAACTGAGCTGGACACCTGGGGCAGGGCTCTGCCGTGCCTCCCGAGTGAGGCTGAACCCCTCGGGAGGCAGGGCAGGGAGCCCAGGCTGGCACCAGCCGTGCGTGCCGGCATGTACGGGTATGGTCGTGACGCACACGATGTGGGTGACACGCACGGGCCCACGCGTGTGCGTGCTCTGTGCAGGCGACTCCCTCCTGAAGCACAGCGGCATGAGGTTCACCACCAAGGACCGCGACAGCGACCACTCGGAGAACAACTGTGCCGCCTTCTACCGCGGCGCCTGGTGGTACCGCAACTGCCACACCTCCAACCTCAACGGGCAGTACCTGCGCGGTGCGCACGCCTCCTACGCCGACGGTGTCGAGTGGTCCTCGTGGACCGGCTGGCAGTACTCGCTGAAGTTCTCCGAGATGAAGATCCGGCCGGTCCGGGAGGACCGCTAGGCGGGCGCACTGTCCAGCCTGTTCACCCCCCTGGCCCTGCCCCCACCTCCCCGCCCCCTTCTCCTATGCATGGCTCACCTGCTCCCAGGGAGGGGGCATGGACCAGGCCAGCCCACCCTGCCTGGGCAGCTGTCGTCAACTCTTGCCTCTGCTGACGGAGGCTGGCGAACCTGACCCCCAAGATTCCACCTGCCCAGACTGTGCCTGCCGCCCAGGACAGGAGACTCCACTAGGGCTGGGCTCTGGCCAGCGCCACCAGGGTGCCCTGCCATTGTGGGGACGTGGACAGCAGGCAGACGGCAGCCCTGGGTCCTCGCACAGGCATAGGTGCGTCTTCCTGAAGCCAGGTCTGGTCTGGCCCTTCTTGCCCTCCCAGCACCCACCCCTCCGCCAGTCTCCAGGGGCCTGATGGTCCCTCCGCTCTCCTGTGCCCCGAGGCCAGGCTGGGGCACAGCTCTTGCAGGGACCCGTTCCCCAGAGGACACCAGTTCCCCAGAGGCTGCACACAGGCCTGGAGGTGGTGCCTGCTCCGTGTGTCTCTGCTAAGGTCAGCAGGAGCCTGCATCCCATTTCTTCTGCCTCTGTGGGGGGGGGAGCAGACCCTGCACCACCTGCCTGGCCCAGGCCAGCGGGAGCCTCTTGGTTTTCTAGGCTGGGGCCAGGGCTGGCCTTGTACCACTCTCAGCCCCACAGCCAACCTCCAGGGCCACCGGGATCCTGAGTGCCCCTGGGATATTACCCCCCACTCTGCCCAGCTGTTGTCTCTGGGGAGAGGCTGCCCCCTTCTGGTGATTATGGGCACTGCCGCCTGAGCCCAGCCCTGACTGAGTGGTTGCAGGGAGAGGCCCTCACTGGACACACAGGCCCCCCTGACCCCTGAATCTCTCCTTGCTGCCCCCCCCGCCTTGCCCCGGACAAAAATGAGACCTGCAGGCTTCCACCGTGGGGACCTGGAAGCAGCCTGGGGGGCTGTCTGACGTCTGCAGGCAGGTAGCCAGGTGTGGGGTTCAACCCCCTTCCCCTCCCACCGAAGCATGTGCTGAGAGCCCCCGTGTCCGACTGACTGTACCACCTGGCCATCGTCCCTCGAGCCCACCTGGCCATCAGTGTCCAGCCAACACGGGCAGCGCCTCTGTGTGGACAAGCCTGGCTCACTGCCCCGTGGGTGCTCACCTGGGAGCAGGTGTACGGCCCAGTGTGACCAGGGCGGTGCCGGGGGCAGCCCAGGTGCAGGGGGAGGGGCAAGGCCGGGTGTGATGGAGGGGGTCCCATTGGGCTCCTCTCCCCACCCTCAGAGGCCCCGGAGCCAGCCTGTCCCATGGCAGGCGCCAGGTGGGACCCTGGATTCTCGTGGGGACCCTGGCTGAGTCGGCTTCTGCTGCCAGCCCCGTGGTGCCAGCTGCTGTGAGTGATGGTAATGGGTTTGTGGTTGTACATGGGCTGTGGGTGATACGGGAGCAATCTCGCCAGGACTTGGCTACAGAATGGACATGCTGGGGCTTGTGCCTGCTGGGGGGAAGTGGACAGGTGCAGGCCAGCCTTGCTGGAGACGCCTGTCCCCTTCAGAGCTCTAGTCACCACCCTGAGCAGCAGGGGCTCTCCCCAGCCAGGGCAGGCACCCCTAGGGGACATGGCCCTTCGCAGCACCAAATGGCAACAGGGCCCATCACGGGGGGAAGCACCTGCCGCAGCCTGGCCCCGCCTTCCTGACAGGAGCCTTCAACAGCTGCACCGAGTACAAACGGTTCCTGTGCACCTGCTGTGGGCTGGAGGAGCTCCAGGTCTGATGGCATTCAAATGGCTGCCACCTGAGATGGAAGTGGCCACAGGCAGAAGGGGATGCTGGGAGAGCACCCATCGCCAGTGCCCGCCTCTCAGCTCCCTGCACCTTCACTACCTCCTGCCTGCGTCCACAGGGGCTTCCAGCTGGCCTGGCTTCAGCTGGAGCCCAGAGCCAGGAAAGCAGCAGAGGCCGCGGGACGCATCTCTGGGCAGGCGGGGATCTGCAGGTGCAGCCCGCGTCCAGTCTGCGGGAGTGGCCAGCCTGGCCCCGGCAGCGGGGGAGAACACGGGCAGAGCTGAGGTTTGAGGGGCAAGGGGCAGGCAGGAGGCCCCAGCATTGGACTCCCAGCACCCGGATCAGAACAAGGAGGCGGGACACTGCCCCGTGACCCAGGACAGGGCCTGTTTGTCCATCTGCTCGCAGAGGGGAGCTTGTCCCTAAGACCCCTGCGTGCACAGCTTCGGGACACTGGCTCACAGGTGTGCCTGGGGGCCACACAGGGCCGAGGCGGCGGCTCTGAGGGCCGGCGCCGCCCCCCATGGACGAAGCAAGGCCGGGGACAGTTGCTGGTCGGGGGGCCGTGTGCACTCGGTGTCTGAGAGTCCCCGTCCCCAATAAAGTCTCGTGGTGACCCAGCGCTGGCCTCGCCTCTCACCCCGCTGGATGTCCCTGTGGGAGTCTTGGGTGGAGCAGACACTAGCTCCGCCCCCACCCTCCTATGTGGGCGCCTCCCATGTGGCTCTGCACCCTTGGCAGAGGCATTGGGAGCTGGGTGGCAGCTGGGGCCGCCTGCTGTGGTCGGGGGAGCATCACGCGTGGCCCTGGAGCGGCTGCCTCCGGGCCTCCCCCTGGGCCGCCAGGGCGGGAACGCAGGACAGGTCTCGGAAGCTGCAGCTGGAGCGGGAGGGGCGGGACCTCACTAAGAACAAAGCGTCCCTGTTGCCTGTTTATTCATGCGGCCACTTGAGGCTTAAGGGTGACCCAGTGCCCTGGGCTGACGCGTTGGTGGGCACCTGCGCGGGCCGTGTCGCCCAGGGCCAGTGGCGGCTGGGCCCTGGGCTGATGCAGGGAGGGGTGGCGGGAGAGGCGTCTGCACTGCCGCCCTGAGCAGTGGGCCTTTGCCAGTCCAAGTTCACCGAACACCAGCCCCGCTGCCCTTCCCCTCCACAAAGTGTTCTGCCTGCTCGGGCTGGTCAAATCGGGCTGCAGGGGACAGAGGTGGGGACCCCTGGGGACAGGAGCCCAGAGCCAGGCCACGGAAGTGACAGGCCATCCGGGACACCTGCCACAGGTGGGGGCCTCACCCACTTCAGCCCTGCCCTGCTGTGACCCCAGCCTGCAGAGCCAGAGGGAAAGGCCTGGGGCGCGCACTCCCACAGCGTCCTAGGAGTTTCTTCCAGCTGCGAACCATGACAGAGCAGGAGAGGGGTCCCCACGGCAGGAGGGGCACAGCCAGCACACCCAGAGCTGGGAGAGGGACAGGCGGTTGCGGGAGACTCCAGCCCAGCCTTAGGAATAGCAGTGGCACCCACACCCCCAAGGGGCACCTCCCCGGCTGCTCTCACCCCCACCCCAACCCTGGCAGCGCTGTGGTCCCCAGTCAGGCGCAGAATCTGAGGTTCAGAGGGACATGGCTGCCCAACCTCCCAGGCGCCTGAGTCTGCGCAGGGCGTGACCCCAGAGGGAGGGGCCTGGACACGGCCCTGACCCACTTTGGGGCCTGAGAAGGGGGCCTGGTGCCCCTCCCCCACACTGCTGCCTGCACACGTGGCCAGCAGCACACGAACCCTTTGCCGGAAGCTGTCCCGAGTGGATCTCAGCACTGGGAGCTCCAGGCAGCCCAGACCCTGCCTGCGACACCCAACCTGAAGAGCTGCAGGCACCCAGCTCAGGGTGAGGGGGTGCTCGCCTTGAGAAGGTGGGCGTGGTCTGCAGGGTTGGATCCGCCCCTGCCCGGCCCCACAGCCGTCCTGGAGGACCTCAAGTCTCTCATTTTGTCCCCGAGCAGACAGAGGCACAGAGAGGGCAAGCACAGGGCCCTGGGCCTCACAGCACACAGACACCAGGCGGTGGACATGGTGGCCCTTGGCACAGCCCTGGCTACAGGTCTGGTGTGGGCTCTGGGTGGCAGACCCTTCGTGGACACAGCCCTCAGCTGGTGAAGATTCCAGCCCCCTCCTCAGGCCGCTGGGGAAGTGGACACGGCCCAGGGGCAGGGGACAGGCCAGTGGGCCCCTGCTCTGAGCTGCTCCCCCAGGCTGCGGCACCCCTGGCCTTGTGTACTCCTGAGACGGAGTGGGGCCTTCCCCGCCCCAGAGGCTGAGACACAGCTGGCCTGGCCGCACAGCCCCCGCCTGGAGCGGGCCCAGGCGCTCAGCCGCGAGGAGTCGAGCTGCCCTGGGGAGTCGCATGGTCTGCAGTGGGCAGCAGGGGTAGCCGGGGCCCCGAGCTGCCTCCGTGAGAGGCCGCTGCCCCTCCCTGGCCCAGGAACTCAGCAGAAGAGAAACCACGTGGGAACCAGAGGCCTGGGAGCCAAACCCCACGTGCTCCCCTCTGGGATGGAGCCGAGGCCGCACGGTCAGGTCCCCGCCCCCGCCCAGGGCCACACCCCCGGGGCCTGTCACTGTGATTCCTGCTAGCAGAGGCCCGGGGGGATGAGGTGCCTGTGGCCACCCAGCAAGACGGCCAGCAGCCGGCACCAGGCCAGGCAGAGGGCTGCGGCCGGTGTGTCTAAGGCACAGAGCTACTGGGGGTCTGACACCACGGTACCAGGGGTCCTGCCGGGCCACATTGTCCCTCTGCACGCCCTCTGAGGGAGCAGGGCCACGCCCCCTGCCCTGCTCGGCTTCTCCTAAAGGCCCAACACCCCTACACTCCCCCCACCCTCCCCGCCCCGTGAGCTCCGGCACCACAACACCGGCTCACCTGCCGTGAGAGGGGACCAGCGGGGGCGGGGCCCCGGGCTCTGCAGGTCTCTGGGCAGCAGGTGTGGAAGGCCCGGATGGACGTGCACCCGCCAGCCCCGTGCTCCCTCCCCCCGAGGCTGAGGCAGGCCCATTAGACCAGGAAGGTGGGCACTGGCGCCTCTGCTCTCCTCCAAAGGGCAGCACCCGCCCCCTCGCCCGGCCACATCCTGTCCAAGCCTGCACGGCCCCCGCCTTCCCCACCAGGTCCCCAATGGAATCCCAGGGTAAGGAATGCGTGGCAGTCAGCCTGGGCCTACTTATAGCATGGAGGACCCAGGCGCCCGCCCGCAGCTCTGCGCAGCCCCGTGCAGGCCGGCCGCATGGTGAGTAAGGCGCTGCCCCGGCAGGCGCCCGTGCTCGGAGGGGCTGGCGCGGGGACGCACGGGGCAGGGGAGGCCTCGTCTTGCCGACAGCCAGAGCAGCGGCGGCGGCCGGCCACAGCCACCTGCTCCTGCTGTCTTGAGACCCCGTGTCCGGGGGCCAAGGGCCCCAGCTTCTGCCGGATTCCTGAAGGGTTCCATGACGAGGACAGCCTCCTTGCCAGAGACTGAGAGACCACCCCGGGGGGCTTCCGGGCTCTGGGCTCTGGGGCTCGCTCCACAGAGCCCTCCTGGAGGCTGGCAGAACAGGGGCTGCTCCCAGGACGGGCAGTAGGGGAGCGGGGAGAGCTGGGTCCTGGGAAGGGTGGGGGCGCTCTAATTCATCTACGAGGCTTCCTGGACGCCGGTTCTGGACAGAGCCTGGGGCTCCCCTCCGTCTCCAGGGCGGCTGCTCTCACGCTCCCTGCTGCACTTCTGCCCCAGGCGCTCTGGGCGTCACCACGGCCTCCTCTGGGGGGAGGCGCCATTAGTCTCTGCCCCCCAGGCCCTGTGCCGTCCGTCCGTCCGCTTGCCTGTGCAGCTCACAGCTGGCGAGCGCCCCCGTCCAGCCGGGACCAACTCACTTTGGAGACGCTGCTGGGGCCTCCCAGCCCCCGGCTTAGCCAAAGCCCGGTTCTTATCAAGTTGAAAGCAGAGAGGGATGTGTTCGGACTTCCATCCCCGGGGGCTCCAGGACAATCAGCCATCCTGCAGGTGCTGAGCTGCCAGGCGCTGGGGTCCCGGGGACAGCAGGGGACAGCGAGAACCAGCCTAATTGGTATCAACAGCTCCAGAGCCTGCTAAGGAGGTGCAGGCGATGCTGCTGGCCATGGGGCAGCCCCGGGGGACAGCTCAGGCCGGGGTAAGTGTGGCCTCTAACTCCCCCCTCTCTCTCCTTGGTCAGATGAGGAGCCCTCGCTCGCTGCCCTACCTCCTCCTGCTGCCGCTGGGCGCCTGCTTTCCCCTGCTGGACAGAAGGGCTCCCCTGGACACGGGGGGCGGCGGCGGAGCCGGGAGGAGCTGGGCCTACCTGGCCGAGGGGCCCCGCCCCCACTTGGCACGGGGCACCTCCCGGGGGCTGAGGGCGCCAGCGCCACGGGCCCTGCTCGTCCTAGCCAGGCAGCTGCAGACGTGGGGCCAGGAGCACACCGGCTTCCACTTCCGCTTCGGGCGGGAGGACGAGGGCACCGACGCCGACGGTGGGGACAAAGCTGCTGGACTGCTGGGGAGCCTGGCCGAGGAGCTGGGCGGCTACAGCAGGAAGAAGGGCGGCTTCAGCTTCCGCTTCGGCCGGCGGTGAGGGCCGGCGCCCTGCTACGGCTTCCTGGGGGCCTGCGCCCCGGCCTGTTGGCGGTGGGCTGGGGAGGGGGCATCCTGGCTTTTGATTTCCGACTTTGCCGAAGCACAGACCCAGACGGCATGAAAAAGGCGGCAAGAGCAAACCGCATCCCGGCCGCCAGACCTCCACTCCCTCGCCGGCAGTGCCGTGGGCAGAGTGGAAGGGGGGCTGCCTGGGTGACCACAGTGGGGTACTCCGAGCTTGGATGGTCTCCACGGGGACGTCTGGAGAATGTGCAGGCTGCGCTGTGTGCAGAGCGCAGCTCCGAAAATGAAAAATAGCCCGACACAGCGGCCTCCTTCTCCACACCATTAGCCCAGTGGCCCCCCCCACCCCCGGCAGCAGCAGGGCCCCCGGCAGAGCCCCCGCCCCCGTCCTGCGTGCAGTGCAGGGTCTTGCCCCGCCGAGTCCCGGGGGAAGCCACTGGGAAGGCGGGCGGCCGCAGCTGCATTCCAAATGTTCACCATATGAATGTGCTGTTGAAGAGTTAAAATTATATATGTGCGGGTGTAAAAAGTTAAGCTTAAGCTTACAGGTTTAAACCTTCCTGGTGCAGCTGTAAAAATAAGACAGAGTGAAGTAGCACCTTGACAGTAGGGACTCCATTTTGGAGCACTTGAGACTCCATTCTGAGAAAGCACCCATCCACCGTGAGACTCTGGTCTGAAACTATGATCTCAAATAGTCGGACAATAGCAGTGCACTACATCACCCTTGGCAATGCACAAAAACCCCCTAGCATGACTGCTCAAGCTTAAAAGTAGAAAGGTTGCACCTGGGTTACCTGGGCTAATAATGAAGATGTGATTTGTCTGTGTCTTACATTAATGTCAAGTCCTAATTGCTGATTGTAATATTGTAACTGGTATTGTCAAGATTATGATAAATATTAATTTCACTTAGGTTTTAGGTTATGTTGACCCCAGTAACCATATACTCTCTTTTGATTTTATGTACTCTCTTTTGATTTTAGCAACTGTGTATAGCAACCGTGCATAGCAACCGTGTATTCCCCCCTTCCCGGTTTTGTGGTTTTTGCCTTTATAAACCCGAACCTTTGGTTATTCGGGGCTGCTCTGTTCATGTATGATCAGACAGCCCCAGCATGCTGGATAATCAATAAAGCTTCCCCTTGCTGTTTGCATAAGAGATGTCTCTTGGTGACGTTTTTCGGGCAGTCGACTCTAACACTGTGTGTGTCTTTTGAAATAAAAGTTGTAACAACCGCAGAGCCGTAATGGGATGCCGGCCCCTCGCCTCCGGGTCCTCGGGGCCCCAGGCAGGCAGTTTTCCTGAGCGCAGGCGCCTTCGCCTGGGGGAGATGGAAATCACACGGCGGCGGCCGCGCACCTGCTCCGCTCTGCCCGAAGCCCGGTAATTGGCAGTCCCTCAAAGGCACAGGAAAACACAATCCAGGCTCGCCGGCCGCTGCCTCGCTGGTTTCCTCAGAACCGGGAGGATTTGGAACACAGCTTCGGCAGGGGCGGCTCCAGCGCAGCGCCTGGGCCCGGGAGGAGCGTCCCTTCCCACAGGGCTCCCTGACCCGGCATCCGCCCCGCCCGGCGTCTCCTGTCGCTCACTCCCATGCCTGCTCCACGGTGGAGAGGAGAACTTATATTGATGTTACTATGGCAACATCTCCCCTCCTCCCTTCAAGCTGCAGCTTGCCCCTGTTCACAACTGAATAATTTTCCCTTGAGCTGTCACAGTTAATTGGTGGATTTTTATTAGCCTTTTAGACCCACACTGAGCTGGGCCCAGCTTGGCGCCGTGGCGTATTTCAGTGTCCCCCGTCCTGTTAGTGCCTCTTACATTCCTGAGCCGTAGCTCTCACTTCTCAGCAGCCAGGAAGCCACTTCATTAAGGGGTGACAGATCTGAGCCAAGCAGAGCCAGGCTGGCTGGGGAGCAGAGATGAGACTGCAAAGGCGCAGGGCAGTCAGGTTGTCGTCTGTGCCGTCTCCGGGGGCTCCCCTGGGCCGGGGGCCCTGTGCCCTGGGGCTGCGGGGGCAGGGACAAGACAAAGCCTCTCAGGATGCCCACTGCCAAGGGCTGTCCGCCCATCGGCTACTCTGGGGTGACACCCCCGGGCCCCGGGGGCACCAAGGCTCTCCAAGTGCTTGCTCACCCTGGGGTCTGCGCTGAGCACTGGGGGTGGGGGAAGGGAGGGTAACCGGGATCAGCCTTAGCTCATTCGCTCATCAAGGCCGGAGCAGGTGCAGACGGAAGGCAGAGGGCACAGGGAGGCCCTGGAGCCTGGGCCCCGACCCACCCCCGCCTGCCCACTTCGTGTTCTTTGAGAGGAACACAGTTCCAGGAGCTCCGGACACCCAGGCTGTGCTGCCTGCGTATGCACTGCTGTTTCTTTTTTTTAAATGTCTGTTTCATCTACTTGACAGACAGGCAGACACACAGTCTCCAATGCTGGATCACTCCCTAAATGCCTGCAACAGCCAGGGCTCAGTTAAGCTGAAGCCAGGAGAGCCCGGGGCTCCCACCGGGGCGGCAGCGGCCCAAGCACTGCAGCCATCACTCTGCCGCCTCCCAGACGCATCGGCAGGCATCCGGATAAAGCGGAGCAGCCAGGGCTCACAGCGGCACTCCGACGTGGGACGCGGGTGTCACAGGCGGCGGCTTAGCCCGCTGCGCCCCAAGGCCAGTCCCTGAACTGGCTTTTTTTTTTTTTTTAATTTATTTTTTTTTTTGACAGGCAGAGTGGACAGTGAGAGAGAGAGACAGAGAGAAAGGTCTTCCTTTGCCGTTGGTTCACCCTCCAATGGCCGCCGCGGCCAGCGCGCTGCGGCCGGCGCACCGCGCTGATCCGATGGCAGGAGCCAGGAGCCAGGTGCTTTTCCTGGTCTCCCATGGGGTGCAGGGCCCAAGCACCTGGGCCATCCTCCACTGCACTCCCTGGCCACAGCAGAGGGCTGGCCTGGAAGAGGGGCAACCGGGACAGAATCCGGCGCCCCGACCGGGACTAGAACCTGGTGTGCCGGCGCCGCTAGGCGGAGGATTAGCCTAGTGAGCCGCGGCGCCGGCCCCTGAACTGGCTTTTTAAGATTTATTTTTTGAAAGAATTACAGAGAGAGGGGGAGAGAGAGAGAGAGAGAGAGAGAGGTCTTCCATCTGCTGGTTCACTCCCCAGATGGCCGCTATGGCCGGAGCTGCGCCGATCCGAAGCCAGGAGCCAGGAGCTTCCTCCAGGTCTCCCACGTGCGTGCAGGGGCCCAAGGACTTGGGCCATCTTCCACTGCTTTCCCAGGCCATAGCAGAGAGCTGGATCGGAAGTGGAGCAGCCGGGACGTGAACTGGCGCCCATGTGGGATGCCGGCACTGCAGGCAGCAGCTTTACCTGCTACGCCACAGCGCTGGGCCCTGACCTGGCTGTTTTTCCATCTGGCAGCATTAGGTTTGCCTTGATGGAGGAACCTGGGTGAGGACAAGGCAGGCCGGGGAGGCCTTCACAGCGGTGGGTACGCTGTCTCTGCTGTTGCCCTTGACAATCGAGAGCTCTTCATCCCAGTTCACTGTCCACCCGGAACCTCGGAACACCCGTGGTGCTAGGGCACTGCTCTGTATCAGCTCCCACGCCTGGCCCCACTGCCAGCCCACTGTCGTGGGCGGAGCCTCTGGAGCCTCCGCCCCACCCGTTTTCTGCTGCTCTGAGCAGGTCGGTGCATACGCAGCCCTCGGGCCCAGAGCGCCCAAGACACAAGCAAGCCCTCATCATGCTGTGCGCATTGAAAGACGAACCATGAGGACGGATGGGAAACACCTCTGATGTACCGTTCTGTATGTTTGAAATGAGAATAAAACGAGGGGCTGGTGCTGTGGCGCAGTGGGCTAAGCCCCGGCCTGCAGTGCTGGCATCCCATATGGGCGCAGGTTCAAGTCCCAGCTGCTCCTCTTCCGATCCAGCTCTCTGTTGTGGCCTGGGAAAGCAGTGGAAGATGGCCCACTTGGGCCCCTGCACCCGCGTGGGAGACCCAGAAGAAGCTCCTGGCTCCTGGCTCTGGATCGGCTCAGCTCCGGCTGTTGGCAGCCATCTGGGGACTGAACCAGCAGATGGAAGACCTCTCTGTCTCTCCCTCTCCCTCTATCTGTGACTCTTTCAAATAAATATTTAAAAAAGAAAAATAAAACACGGAATTCCATGCTTCCCCTGTGAACAGGAAGCAGCCACCTGCTCCAGGGCCATGCCTCTGCACAAACAGCAGCGGAGACCCTGGCATGGCCGCCCGCAGCCCCCGGGAGGCCTCCTGCACTATCTTAGAGCCGCACCTGTTACAGCAGTGTGAACTGGACAGGTCAGGTGGCCACCAGAGGTGAGGGCAGGGGCTGACAGCGGGACCCTGTGCCGTCTTGTCCCCCCTGCCCCGACTGCTTCCGCACCAAGAAAACTGACAGCTTGGCTCCCAGGGGCACCCCAGGGATGGAGGCCCCTGAGCTGTGTGGCGGCTCTCCCCATCTCTGTCGTCCCCCACGCCGACACAGGACCCCGGCCCCTCCCCGTCTCTGTCGTCCCCCACGCCTACACAGGACCCCGGCCCCTCCCCGTCTCTGTCATCCCCCACGCCGACACAGGACCCCGGCCCCTCCCCGTCTCTGTCGTCCCCCATGCCGACACAGGACTCCCGGCCCCTCCCCGTCCATTCCCCACGCTGACACAGGACCCCCGGCCCCTCCCTGTCCGTCCCCCACACTGATACAGGACCCCCGGCCCCTCCCCATCTCTATCGTCCCCCACGCAGACACAGGACCCCGCCCGCCGGCCTTTCTTCTGGCCATGCACATCTGGGTTGTTTTCAGGTTTTTGATTTCAAAAAAGAATTTTTTTAATTTGAAAGGTAGAAGCGACAAGAGATCAATTGACATTCCATGCACTGGTTTACCCCCAAGTGGCCTGCAGTTGGGACCGGACGTGGCGGGAGCCAGGAGCCAGGACCTCTACCCTGGCTTCCACAGGGGCGGCAGGGGCCCAGGGACTCACTGGCTCCCTCGTGCGTCAGCAGCGGGGACCCTGGTGGGCACTCCGATATGGAGCGCCAGCCTCGCAAGCTGCGGCTTAAACTGCTGTCTCCCGACTTCCTACAACTTTTTAACACGTTAGGTTGGTTTCCGTGACCCCAGCTCCTCTGGTGGCTTGATCCCTGGGTCCTGAGACTTGACGAACCCCGCCATGCGTGCTCACATCACACGCGCGCTCTGGGGCTGGGACCGACTGTTTGCATTACTCTCTCTAGAGGCGAAGAAACCAGTGTTTCCCACGGCCAACCACGGCCAACCACGGCCAACCACGGCCAACCACGGCCAGGCCACCCTGAGTTCACTCGCTCGTGGGCGGTTACCTGTGAGAGCAGACACCGGACAAGTCACCCGGCTCAGCGTCGGGAACGGAGTGGCCACGGCCATGGCTGAGGCTGAGGCTGAAGGCTCCCCATCAGGCCCTGGACGCAGTGGCCATCTGGTGACCGTGGCTGTCACCAGGACTGCTCTGCGTGTCCCTTCAGACCTGGGAGCAGCCACTCAAGGGGAGAAAAGCCCTGGTCCAGTGATGGCTCCACCGCTGAGGAGCCGCAGGCCTGGCCTCGGCTCTGTCCCCGTGAAACCAGACCAGGAGGCTCCGGTGCCTGGGGTGGGGTGCGGCTCCTCCGAATTCACACCATGCGGCCCCACAGTTCCGGTCCCAGCAGCTGCTTCCAGCCCCCGCACCTGCCACCAGCACGTCTCACGGCCCAGGGACGAGGCTGCACTGACCCGTGCTCTCCCGGCACGCTTTGCTGAGCGGGATGTGCGCCCTCTGACAAGTGTGCCGGCTTCAACATTATCAGAGGGCGCTGCCGGCTCCCCCGCACTGAGGAAATCGGCAGCCCCCCACCTGACAGTCCCCTGGGGGCTGCAGTGTGGCGCACAAGCTGGGGGCACCCAGGGCTGCGGGCGGGGATGGAAAGTGGATGCAAAGGCACACATGGGTGGGAGGGGCAAGGAACCGGGACATGCCCCACCCCCCCCCAGCACTTTAAGGATGAGGGGGTGGCCAGTGAGGCTGCCATGAGCTGGGCAGCTGGCAAATACATGCCGAGGACACACAGGGCCCGGGTGCAGGGCAGCCAGGGCCTGGCAAACGGCCGGGGAGGAGAAGCCACGGGATGAGCCTGGGCGGCAGCGGGCAGCAAAGAACCCACGGCCACCCCACCCGTGCGGGACTTTAGCCCCAAAGCACTGGGCAGCTTGGCACACCAAAGAGGGACCGTGGCCTGGAGCAATCCGCCTGGGAGCCCAATGTTGTAAACAGTTCTTTATTTAAAAAACACAACAGAGTCATATACAGAAACAAAATGTAACTGGACCGAGAGGAGGGGGGCACCATAGGCATTCCAGACAGAGGACAGTGGGAAACTATTTATAAAAGAGTGTAATACCAAGGTATAAATGCAAAATATAGTGGCACATGTTAACAGAAGGCGACGCCAGGACCTCGCGCCACGTGGCCTGTTCTGGGTCTGCAAGGCCGCTGTCGGTGTTGGGGTGCCCCCTGGGCACACTGCGACCCTAGGGAGCTAAGACACAGGTTCAGGTGGTCACTGTGCAAACAGGGGCTGTGCAGGGCTGCCGGATCCAGGGGCCCACTCCCCGCACCGGCTGCTCTGGGTCAAGGTCAAGGAAGAGTCAGGGTCTGCACACCTCAGCTCGGGCTTAAGTAGCCCTGGGAAGACACCAAGGCTGGCTCTTTAAAGCACTCCCTGGGGTTTGGTTTGTGGTTTTCCTAAGGCTCCCGGATGACCCCACAGAAACGTTAGGCCAAGTGTCACTCAGGGTAATTAAATAAGAGACACCCGCCCCGTTCAGGGGTGTGCCAGCTCTGCTCAGACCCCCCCCCCCCGGTGTGTGCTGGTGCCCAGTGGCAGCTCCTTTCCGGGAGAAGTCAGCAACTGTCGCCAAGGACGGGGCCCCAAAGGATCCACTTCGTCTTGGATGAGGAGGGGGAGGGAGGTTGGTCAGGAATGCAGATCCTTCCACGGCACGGGGCCAGGCCTGCCCCAGCTGGTCACCCAGCAAGCTGCTGCCTCAGGACAGCGACCCTGCACCCTCCAGACTCAAGCTTCCTACCCAGGATTCACAGTGCACGTCACATGAGAACAGGAACTGGGCCTGGGGACACGGCGTGGACAGACGGCGGGGACACCCCCGCCTTCACCCCCCAGCCCCTGCCTGCCCGGGCCCGCAGGCTGGCTGGCTCTGGCCCTGTGTGCCCCCGTGCAGAGCGGGACCGGCAGCAGCGCGCAGCCTGCCCGGGCCGGGGTCCTCCATTGCGGGCTTCACCCGGGGGACGCGAGGCCGGTGGGCCTGGAGGTGGCACCCGGGGGACGCGAGGCCGGTGGGCCTGGAGGTGGCACCCGGGAGACGCGAGGCCGGTGGGCCTGGAGGTGGCACCCGGGAGACGCGAGGCCGGTGGGCCTGGAGGTGGCAAGGCTCCTGTTCGTGAGGGAAACGGCAGCGAAGGCACCGAGTGGAGCGACCTCCCCAGCTGGCCGAGGGCTCGGCGCGGTCTGAAGCCGCCCCGGCGTGCCAGCCGCGGTCCACGGAGGCCCTCCCCGAGGGTGGGGGCGGCGGGGCTGGCGCAGGACAGCTGGTGCACAACCCGGGCAGCCAGAGCCGGCCGCCGGCGTGGGAGCAGGTGCGGGCGAGCCCTCGCGGGCTGCAGGCCTGGCTCCTGCTACCTCTGCACGATGTCGCTGATCTCCCTCACGGAGCTGAGCAGCTTGCTGAAGTCCTGCGTGGCCGCCGGGCCGCCGCCCGCCGCCGCCGGGCAGATCTGCAGCTCCCGCAGGTTGCTCTCCAGTTTGTTGATGGCCTCTCGGAAGGCGAACTTGTTCCTCATCTGCTGGATGGAATCCACGTAGCTCACGCAGAACGTGTAGAGGTTTTTGCCGGCCTCCAGCACGGCGCTGTGGCTGGCCATCTGCTCCGAGTTCCTGGAGATGGCCAGGCACAGGGCCTCGGTGCTGTCCAGAACCACGCCCTTGGTGATGGTGCCGCTGGCGATGCGCTCTGGGGGCTGGCGGGTTTTCCTAAGAGACACGCGCGTGGATATGAGCGGGATAAAGGCGGTGGAAGATGGCTGGTCGGCCGCTGCCGGCAGCGAGGCGGGGGTGGGGGCCGAGTTGGCGGGGGTCCCCGAGGGCTTGGGGCCCGACTGTGGCTTTGGTACGGACGGCAGCACAGGCCTTTTGAGGCTGTCCCCTGGCTGGCCGGGCTTGGTGGCCTCACAGCTCGCTGCCTCCCCAGCCGCCTCCTGGCTCGGGCTCTGAGAGGGTTTCCCGGCTCTCCCCACAGGGGCTGGGGGAGGCGGCGGGGCGGGTTTGAGCTTGGACAACTTCCCCTTGTCTCTCCCCGGTGACTCGGAGGCGTGCTTGTGCCTCCTCACTCGGGGCTCCTCACCGGGGCCCTTGCCGGGGCCCCCAGGCGCGCCTGACGCTGCCCTGCTGGGAGGGGGCCCTGGCTCGGTGGCGGCAGCAGTGGTCCCCAGGGCACCGCCCTTCCCGGCCTCGTCCTTGTGGGGGGCTGCAGAGGCAGCAGCCACCGAGACCTGCCGCCGCTGGAGCTTCGGAGTCAGGCCGGGAGGGCTGGAGCCCGGGCTGCCGTCGGCCGCGGCGTCTCTGAAGACCTCGTCCCCGGCTTCCTCGCTCTTTTTCGCCAGCCTGGGCGGGGGGGTCACGGTGCCTCTGGTCACCTGGTCGCACCTGTTCTCGCTGGCCCGCTTCCGAGGCAAAGCTGGCTTTTCGCTTTTGTGTCCTCCAAACGTGGACGAGTCGAACTGCCTCCCGGTGGACTGCAGGTCCCGCGGCAGCGTGACCGACCTCCACTCTGCGTCCTTGGCCCCGTGCGGCACGCAGGAGGCGGAGCAGGAGCGCAGGAAGCGCTTGCTGGAGCCGCCGCCGCTCTCCTCTTCACCGGCCGCCAAGCGGCTGCCGGTCATTGTGCTGGACTTCTGCCACAGGTGCGGGGACCGGAAGCCCGAGCCCCCGGCCTCCCGGCAGGCCCCGTTGGGAACGCCGGCGCCGTTGCTGGCTTTGGGGGCCTTGGCTGGCTCGGTGGCGTCTGAGGGGGCGAGGGGCGGCGCCCCGTTGCTGACGTCCCGGCCCTCGTCCTCGCCGGGGCCCCTGCGCTCCTGCGGGCCGTCCATCTCTCGGAAGGAGCTGCTGCGCTTCGGGGGCGTCGGAGCCGTCTTCTTCTTCTTCTTGATCAAGGCGCTGAACAGGTTGGTCTTCTTGTCTTTGGGGAGGAGGCGCTCGTCCTCATTCAGGCCGCCGTCCGGGGGGCCTCGCTCTTTCCGAGGGAGCAGTGGAGACACGGCAGGCTCGTGGTCCAGGGCATCTGCAAGGCACAGGAAGCGGTGAGTGACCCCGAGCCGCAGCTGCCCCTGCGCTCTCCCGGGGCCCCGCCAGCTCGGCCACCTGCTGCTGCCGGCTCAAACGGAGCACAGGCAAAGCTCGGGCCGCGCTGCGGGAGGAAAGGTGCGTGGGGCTGTGGGGCTGAGGCTCGGCCGCTGGCCTGGAACCTCTCACCACCAGGCGAGGGCCCCGGTGCCTCAGTGGACAGGAGCTGGCGAGGGCCTGGCCCCGTCCCTGCAGAGCCCTCACAGCAAGGACAAGGCCACACGGCGCGTCGGAACGCTGGCTCCCGGACAGGGGGCCGTGCTGCCTGCGGGGAGTAGCCCGGCGGGCAGCCACCACGCTGGTCTGTGGGAAACAGTGATGCCCTCTGACCATTTCTAAATGGTTCTTAACTACCCAGAGTGGGGGGTAAGAGATCTTCCCGGAGCTGGATTCTCCCTGCCTGGTGGCTGGGAGGGATTCAGTGTCAGCCCTGGAACTCGGGGCGGGGCAGTGCGGTGTGGGGAGTCAGAGAAGGCCGAGGACCCCCACCGTAATCCGCCGAAGGGGGGTGAGCAGAGTGGAATTCCGGCGACTCAGCCTGCAACCCTCCTGGCCTGGGCGAGAACGCGCCTCTGAAGGCCCCACAGAGGGGCTCTGGCGGGCACAGGTGGGCAGGACCGTTCACCACTGGGCTTTCACCAGGTACACGACATGTTCCCATGGGGGCTCTCCCCACAGCTCAACCACCTGGACCCCCAACACAGGGGTGAGGGACAAAGGTCCTAGGGCATCCACAGGCCACGGCTTCCACAGCAGGGTGAAAAGAAGGCCTAGCCGGCTCTGGAGAGAAAGTCTTACATTTTGGGTTTATTTCTCATGTCATGCATATTTTGGGGTGCACACTGCAATGTACACACATTCGTGCAGCCATGTATAGCACACACACGCACACACACTCTCTCTCTTTCTCTCTCGGGCTGTGCTGACCCCGCTGCCTGGCCCACCCAGGACTGCTGGCTCGGGGCAACCACTAACTCAGGGCAGAGCCTGCACACAGGAGGCCGAGAGGAACCCTGAGGAAGCAGGAGGCCGCGGCGGCCGTGCGCTTCTCCTGCCAGCGCCCCCCAGAGCAGCTCTCCCCGCTGGGTCAGCAACGCTCCCTGTCCTGAGTGCCTGGGGAGAGCAGCCACACGTGCCGAGGGCCACACGTGACAGGCACCCACCACCTGCCGAAGCCTAAGCCAATGGCTCCTCGGCGACTCCCCGGGGAGAGCTCTCCCCTTTCCAAGGCTGGCTGCCGCCCTCCGTGCCTGGCCCACCCACAGTCTCCCATCCAGGTGTGGACGCTCCCTGGGCCTCCCGCGGGAGCAGGAGAGGGAAGGGGCGGGGTGGGTGGAGACGTACCGCTCTCGCCCTGGCCCTTGGAGTGGGGCGCGTCGGCGGCGTCGGCGGCTCTCCTGGCGGTTCTGGTCTTGGTGGGCAGTTCTGGGGCCTGCAGCAAGGCGCTCGCGGCCCCCCGTGCGCCCCGTCTCCCCAGCTCCTTTTCCACTTCTAAATCACACACAACACAAAGCCAGCAGCGTCAGCCCCGGGCCAGCTCTTCCACTAGGAGGAGAGTGGTCATCTCCACAGAGCTACAGCACAGGCACAGGTGCGCAGACGCCCGACGCCAACGCCTCTGCCCGCCGCAAGCCGAGGCCCTGGGCTGGAGTCCCACATGGGCGCCCCCAAGCCAACCTCCCCCGCTGGTCCCCCCACCCACAGGCCCCCTGGGGGTGGACATTTTACCATCTGAGATACTGGATTCTTGGAACATCGTTTCAAAAGCTTGGTGGATTTCAGCAAAGGAGGGCCGGTCTGAGGGACTCCACTGCCAACCTAGACAGACGAGACCAGGTCAGGCCACCGTGAGGCCGCGCCAGCAAGCACGGGGGGCCGGGGCCGGCACCCTCAGGAACAGTCTGGAGACCGAAGCAGCACTCAAGCCCTGCTAGCATCGTTTCCTGTGACAACTGAAACAGACGATCGCCACTGTGTCCTATTACAGACATGAAGACACTGGGATGGCGTCAGATGCTGGCAGGAACGGGGACTCCAAGCCCAGAGAGACGCTGACAGGCGCAGCAGCACCCACAGACGCACTCTCCCACTGCACTCTGGGAGGTGCAGCTAACGACTACACTTCCTGATTATCCAAGTTGGAAGCCCGCATCAGTAAAGAACGCTAATTAAAACAAGCCGGCACTGGGTAATTAACATGAATGACAGACGGGCAGGAATTCGGTGCAGTGGTTAAGACGTGACATGGGATGCCCATGGCCCACATCACAGTGCCAGGGTTTGAGTCCTGGTTCTGCTTCTGATCCAGTTTCCTGGGAGGCACAGGTAGAGGCTCAAGTCCTTGGGCTACTGCCACTCATGTGGTTGACCCTGAACAAGCTCCGGGATCCTGGCTGCTCTGCTTCCAGGGCAGCTTCCTGATAACTTGTGCCTGGGAAAGCAGAGGAAGATGGCCCACGTGTTTGGGCCCCTGCATCCACATGGGAGACCTGGAAGAAGCTCCTGGGTCCTGGCTTTTGGCCTGGTCCAGCCCCAGCTGTTGTGGCCATTTGGGGAGAGAACCAATGGATGCAAGGCCTGCCTCTCTGTCTCTCCCCCTCTCTCTATAACTCTGCCTTTCAAATAAATAAATCTTTTTCAAAAAAGTTAAAATGCCTGCAGTTATCAAAAGTACCAGTGTAGGAGCAGAGGGACAGGTGTAAGGATGTCCACTCCTGTCTTTCTTACAATGGAAAGACCAAACAAATATATAAAACAATCAATCGCTCATCAATAGAGAACTGGATGGATGAATGGATTGTTCAATGGAATGAAATAGGAGGAGGGCGAAGGGGACTTGAAAACCCAGGCATGGAAAGCCCACACCTGCTACTAACTCACAGGCACGCGCACACGCCCACACGAGCACGAGTGATGCCACGGCACGGAAGTGAAGGGGCAGTCCCGCCCCGAGGGGTGGTCCTCCGAGCACAGCACTCAGGGCTGAGGAGAAACCCAGGTTTGGGTAGGCAGCGTTTGTGCGCAATGTATGAACAAACACACAAGCATTAAAGAAAGTGAAAAAGATATACATCCAGGGGCCAGCGCTGTGGCGTAGCGGGTAAAGCCACGGCCTGCAGTGCCGGCATCCTATATGGGCGTGGGTTCAAGTCCTGGCTGCTCCACTTCCAATCCAGCTCTCTGCTAAGACCTGGGAAAGCAGCAGAAGATGGCCCAAGTGCTTGGGCCCCTGCACCCGCGTGGAGACCTGGATGGAGCTCCTGGCTTTGGATCAACCCAGCTCCGGCCGTTGTAGCCATCTGGGGAGTAAAATAGCGAATGGAAGACCTCTCTCTCTGCCTCTGCCTTTTAAATAAATCAATCTTTTGAATACACAGACACACAGACACACACACACACGCACGCTCCCCGCGGCCTCTGCGCGGCCCTCACGCCGCCCCCCAGACTGGCGCCGGGGCTCACATGCTCGCATGAGTTCGTAGACCTTCTCCGGGCAGCCTTCCGGGCGCTCCATGCGGTAATCCTTCTCCAGCAGCTCATAGACCTGGGACAGGTCGATCCCCGGGTACGGCGACATGCCGTAGGTGGCGATTTCCCAAAGCAGCACTCCAAACGCTAAAAGGAAGGAGAAGGAGGCTGGAAGGCTCACGCCACTGCAGCAGACACGCCAGGGGCACCCGCAGAGGCAGCCCCGCTGGTCCCGCACGAACCACCAGCACCCTGGGCAGCGCAGACAGGAGAGTGCCTGACACGGACGGAAAACACTGCGGGAGGGAAGACGGCGAAGCCATCAGCCCCCCGGGGCCTTTCAGCCAATGCAACCACCTCGCGGGATGTGGGGTGTCAGGAGCCTGGGCCGGCAAACAGGCAGCCACAGTCTACGCACAGGTCTGTGGCCGGCTAGCTGTGCGCCCAGCACAGGCCGCCGTGGCTCTGTGGCCGGCTAGCTGTGCACCCAGCACAGGCCGCAGTGGCTCTGTGGCCGGCTTGCTGTGTGCCCAGTACAGGCCACTCATTTCTAGGCGTACAGAATTATCTCCTCTGCCAACTCAAAAAACTGCCAAACAAATTTCATGGAATCTTTGTAAGTTTTGCAACCCCAGCTTATGGCCTTGACACTTCCTCCCCTGTTGAAGGAACCGGGGCTCCGCTGAGAAGCAGGGACTCAGGTGTGAGTGAGCCTTGTGCATCCTGCCATTCCAGACAGCATGGACATCATGGAAGACTCCAAGGGCAACTCCAAGAGGACCAGGAGTTACCCTGAAGCTCCCGCTGGCCGACGATGAGATACAGCGGGTTAAGCAGCTCCTGGGATTCCCCTCGTCCCACACAGGAGTGCCTGGTTCCAGTCCCGAACGCTCCATGCTTCTGATCCAGCTTTCAGCTAATGCACCCAGCACAGAGCAGATGACGGCCCAACGACTTGGGCCCTTGCCATCCACACAAGAGGCTGGGACAGCTCCTGGCTCCGGGCTGAGCTCCGGCTGTCCCAGGCATTTGGGGAGAGACCCGCAGACGGAAGATATACCTTGCTCCGTGTGTGGGTGTGTGTCTCCCCCTCTCTATGTGTCAGATAAAGCTCCCCGGTTCATAATGACATCAGCAGTGACAAACAACAAAACCTCACGGGGCACCACGGAGGGGCATCAACAGACCAGCTTATCTCAAAAACTGGTAAACAAAGGCAGAGGAGCAGGCACTCACCCTGCCGCTTCTACGCTAGTACTAGCACCAAGGCCCGGGCAGACAAGGGGAGGGGCTTCTTGCAGAGCAGCCTGCTAATAAGTGAGTGAGGAAAGACGGATCCAGGGAACCTCCTCCTGGCATCCCTTGTCAAGCAGCGCGTCTAGGCGCTGGGTGTCGGCACACGCGGACAGGACGCACTGCCGAGGACAGAGCACGCCACCTTCCCAAGTCCTGGTGGAAGAGGCCCAAGGCAGGCCCGGATGTGACGAAGCTGCCGACTCAGCGACCCAGCGACGGGACCCCAGAAGCAGCGGTGGCAGAGAAAACCCACCACGTGGGAAACTCAAGGACAAGCGACGGAGCTTCTGCATAAAAGGAAACCAAGGGAAAAAGGACACGGAGAGGGAGCCGTGGCTGGAGGCGGCTTCGGCAAAGACCGGCCAAGCACTGCGGGAACCACACCTGGATCTCAGTGCAAACTGTGAGAAACAGCCCGAGCTTCACAGTCCAGCTAGCTGGGAGCCGAACACCAGACACAAAATAACATGGGGCCTGGGATTCGCTTTTAAAAACATGAGGGTTGGGGGCCAGCACTGTGGCGCAGCGGGTTAAAACCTGCAGTGCCGGCATCCCGTATAGGCAGCGGTTCGAGCCCCGGCTGCTCCTCTTCCGATCCAGCTCTCTGCTGTGGCCTGGGAAAGCAGTGGAAGATGACCCAATAATAAGTTACAGCAAGCTATTCTGCATAACTGAGGAAGAAAAAGCTCACTCTCACTCTACCTTGACAAGAAAACAAAGGGGAAAGGATTTTAAATGACAAAGAAGCAGGCGGTTCCTGTGGTGTAGTGGTTGTTACGCTTGCCCTGGTTTGAAACCGGCTGGGAACAAATGGCCCTTTCTCTCTCTCTTTCTTCCTCTGCCTTTCAAATAGACAAAACGAATCAAAAGTAGAGAAATAAAGTGAGAAAGAAGGAGAAGTAATGGAGACCAGGGACTGGAAGGGAAAGAGCTGGTGCATGAGGCAGAGGAGAACGGAGCAAAGCCCCCCGGGAGTGGACTGCGCCGGGCAGCGGCTCTTACCCCACACGTCGGACTTGATGGAGAACTTGTTGTAGGCCAGGCTCTCCGGCGCGGTCCACTTGATGGGAAACTTGGCTCCGGCGTGGGCCGTGTAGGTGTCCCCTGTCATCAGCCTGCTCAGGCCAAAATCAGCCACCTTCACCAAGTGGTTTTCCCCTACCAGGCAGTTCCGGGCAGCAAGGTCCCTGGGAAGGAAGGTCACCGTGAGACCCCCAGGATTCGGCTGCCCAAATCCACCACCAGCAAGCGAAGGTGCAGAATTGGCGAGGCAGACGGCGTCGGCCCCTGCAGGCATTCAGACCCTGCAGGCTGGGGGCGGTGCCAGCCCCTGGGCGCATGGCCTGAGCCCCAGCACGGCGCCAGGGGCAGCCCGGGAGGCACTGAGACCTGCAGCAGGTTAGTTACCCTGTAAGGTGAGGATGATGATAAAGGCACCTACACCCTGGGGCTGCGCGCGATGAACGAACGTGTCAGGTGCTTCCAGCAATGCCTGGAGAGCAGCGGCGAGTTACGTAAGGGCGCCGTTACCGCTACTGCACGCTGGCACGGCAACCAACGCTCAGCCCAATCCTCCGTCACAAGGAACGTAGGTAGGACAGTCTCCACTTGTCCTACCCAGGCATGACCAGGACGGAGTAAAATAAAGCCCGGGCGCCTCCACCTAGATTCTGCCTCCTCCCTCCCTCTCTCTTCCTGATGCTCACCCAAATGCCTCCTCGCAACTCTCTTCCTCCCGCCTCCTGAGCCTCCAGGGAGGCAGCCGTTTAACCTCTGCTCCACGGATGTTAACCACAAATGCACAAGGCACACCGGGGTGCAGGAGTGCGAGGAGGCAGCCGCATGCAGCGACGGCTGCGCGGGAGCCTGGGCATCAGCAAGGAGAGAGGCATTAAACACGAAGAGCTGTGCCTAATGGGATTTCGGCAAAGCATCTTAAGTGTGCCTGAGTGAAGAGGGAGCAGACCAGCCGTGCACGGCAAACCAGGAGTCAGGAAATCTCAATGTGCAGCATCAGAGGGTTCACGTCCCGAGTGACGGGAGCATCTGGACCAGGCTCCTGTGGGGCACGGAAAATCTGAGGACGAGGAGCTGCCCGCGACTCCTGCGCCGCTCTGCTTCTCTGCACGGCAACCTCGTGTAGAGGTTTCACACTCGAGTTAACTGGGCAGGAAAGGCCACGCGGCGGCGCGGCAAACATCTCGTCTGCGACTCGGCGAGCCCATCAGGCTGCGTCCTGCATGGGCTGTCACTTTGCTAGGAGGCCATTTCCACCAGCAAAGAATGCAAAGCCCGAGGCAACTGGCACACTTGAAGGTCAAAGCACTCCAGGCTGCAGCGCCAGCAAGACGCTTAATTCAGGCCTCATACCTGCGTTCTGACAATCGTGGGAACACCCGCGAACCAGCTGACAGCAAGTCAAGTGGAGAGAAACGATAATAAAGACAAGGGAGGAAGCACACATGCACACACACACACAGTGCGCACACACACACATGCGCACGCACACACAGTGCGTACACACACGCACAGTGCATACATACACACACACGTGTGCACACACGCACACACAGCACGAGACCTCCGCAGCGCTGCTACGGCGAGCCTGCAGAAAAGCAGTGCCCACTGCCCCCAGGGCTGAGGAAGGCCGGCCCCGGGGACAGGGACACTGGTGTCAGAGGAGCTGCGAGGCGAGGAGGGACGCCTTTCACAACCTTCATTTACTGTTCTGCTCACTTCAAAATGGCTCACAAGCGAAAGGCTCCTTACCCCAGGGACTGACTGCTCCGCCAGTCCAGGGTGCAGGCCTGGCTGGAGTTAGTCCTGGGCGCATGCCAACGCTGGCCACGCCAGGAACCTGGCACCCATCTTTGCTCTGAGGTCCAGCGTGTGCGGGCGCCGCGGCCGCCCCTACCTGTGGATGAAGTTCTTCTTCTCCAGGTACTCCATGGCTGACGAGATCTGCGTGGCCATGTAGAGCAGCACCACAGCGTTCACCTCCTGCCGATTACACTCTCGCAAGTAGTCCAGCAGGTTCCCATAGGTCATGAACTCAGTGATTATGTAGAACGGGGGCTCCCGGGTGCAGACCCCTGCCGACCAGACAGCGAGCGAGCGAGCACTGAAGGGGGCTGCCACTAGAGATGCTCCTGGGGCCAGTGCCGGGGTGCAGTAGGTTAATTCTGCGCCTATGGCGCCGGCATCCCATATGGGCGCTGGTTCTAATCCTGGCTACTCCTCTCCTGATCCTGCTCTCTACTATGCCCTGGAGAGCCGTAGAAGATGGCCCAAGTGCTTGGGTCCCTGCACCCGTGTGGGAGACCCAGAAGAAGCTCCTGGCTCCTGGCTTCAGATTGGCTCAGCTCCAGCCATTGTGGCCATCTGGGGAGTGAACCAGTGGATGGAAGACCTCTCTGTCTCATCCTGTCTGTAACTCTACCTCTCAGATAAATAAATAAAAATCTGAGAGAGAGAGAGAGAGAGAGAGAGAGGCTCCTGAAACATAAACTCTGCACCTCTGCACCGATGTCCTGGGCCCCACTTCTTTTATTATTTTTTTTAAAAGATTTATTTATTTGAAAGGAAGATCAACTTATCCACTGGTTCACTCCCCAAATGGCTGCAATGGCAGGAGCTGGCTGGGCTGGTCCAAAGCCAGGAGCCAGGAGTTTCCTCCAGGTCTCCCATGCGGGTCAGGGGCCAACCACTTGGGCCATCTACTACTGCTTTCCCAGGCCACAGCAGGGAGCTGGATCGGAAGGGGAGCAGCCGGGTCTCAAACTGGCGCCCCTATGGGATGCCGGCACCATGGGCTGTGGCTGTACCTGGTATTCCACAGTGCCGGCCCCTCGGCCCACCTTCTACCATGGTTCCAGGCAGCAGCGGCTTGACACTGCTCCTGTGAGAGCGCGGCCTGCTCTCTGCTTCCTCTCAGGCCAGTGGACCAGAACCCACGCAGGCAGAGACCCAGCCCACAGGACCAGAACCCCTCAACAGAGACCCAGCCCACAGGACCGAGCCCGACGGTGGCGTCCACTGCAGAATCACCACCGTAAGAGTCCAGCAGGCACTTCCAGAAGCCGGCCTGAGAGCCACATGTGACTGCTTCTAGCAAAGCGTCCGTTTAGAGCAGCACCACTCTCGTCCCCTCACCCCTGTTTAGAGCAGCACCACTCTCGTCCCCTCTCACCCCTGTTTAGAGCAGTGCCACTCTCGTCCCCTCACCCCTGTTTAGAGCAGCACCACTCTCGTCCCCTCTCACCCCTGTTTAGAGCAGCGCCACTCTCGTCCCCTCTCACCCCTGTTTAGAGCAGCGCCACTCTCGTCCCCTCTCACCCCTGTTTAGAGCAGCACCACTCTCGTCCCCTCACCCCTGTTTAGAGCAGCGCCACTCTCGTCCCCTCTCACCCCTGTTTAGAGCAGCGCCACTCTCGTCCCCTCTCACCCCTGTTTAGAGCAGCCACTCTCGTCCCCTCTCACCCCTGTTTAGAGCAGCCACTCTCGTCCCCTCTCACCCGTTTAGAGCAGCACCACTCTCGTCCCCTCACCCCTGTTTAGAGCAGTGCTACTCTCGTCCCCTCTCACCCCTGTTTAGAGCAGCCACTCTCGTCCCCCCTCACCCCTGTTTAGAGCAGCGCCACTCTCGTCCCCTCTCACCCCTGTTTAGAGCAGCACCACTCTCGTCCCCTCACCCCTGCTTAGAGCAGCGCCACTCTCGTCCCCTCCCACAGCGGCCCTCTCCACGGAGAGCTGATGCCGCAGAGAGCAGGCGTGGAACCCGGGCCCCCCGGGAGCCCCACGTACCGAGCAGCTGCACCAGGTTGGGGTGCTTGATCTCCTTCATCACCGCGGCTTCCTTCAGGAACTCTTCCACCTCCATGGTGTCCTCCTGCGGACGAACACAGGGCTGAAGTCAGCCCGCACGCCGAGCAGGGGCGCACGCGGGAGGGCTCACACGCCCGGGCCCTCGCCTGACGGCACGGGCTCGGAGGCGCCACTCAGCCCAGCCGCACCTTTGCCTCTGGTGCTGAACTTGGGAATTCTCACCCAAGGCCAAAGGTCAAAGTCGGCTCACAGAGGCTACCCTCCAGAGGCTACTCCAGGCTGGAGCCAGGAGTCGGAGCGGGCAGTTCAATCCTCTGGAGCCCCTGCTTCTCAGGGCGCTCTGACCGACCAGTGACACGCTCACGCCAGCGCTGAGGCGTGAATGCTGCCAGAACCGCGGTCAGTGCTGGGCGCCAAGGGTCCTGCTTGGCCAGCAACGTGCTCCAAAGCTAACTCTCGAACCAGGCTTTCCGGGCAGGTGGAATACAACCGGTCACACACAGTGACGTCATTTCAGAGCTGCGGACCCTGCACGTTCCAGAACCTGGCAGGCGCGAACAGGCCAACAAGAGGGCTTCGGGCACCCTCTCCTCACCTGTGCTTCTCCCCCACCCTGCCAGCCTCAGTCCTTGCTTTCCTCTCAGAAAGATCAGTGTGAGTTTGTCTCCCCCTGCTGGAAGCACAGATCTGTGCTCGCGGGAACTCTAACTCCCCTGATGAGACCCTGTGCTGCTTTAGAAGAGAACTTTGCACTGCACCGTGAAATAAAGGAACCCGGACGCAAGCGCAGGCCGGTCATTTTCAGCCGGTCTCGTCCGTGCCTGCTGGGGAGGGGCCAGAGGCGGGTGGGCATCTGGCGGGGCAGCAGCGGGAAGAGGACGACTGACCGCTCTTACCAGCCTGCTGCTGCTGCCCCGCGGCCTCTCTGAACACCAGGACCCAGCTCAGGCTGGGAACGCCGGGCGCAGGGCCTGGGCGCTGGCCAGCCACACTGCCTCTCACGGCTGCTGTCTCGGGACGTGGACGGCACGTGCGCTCTCTGAGGAACACTGGGGCTTCTCCCAGATGCGTCCCCTCACCCACGCCCTCCTGCTTGGCGTGCACCCTCCAATGCAGGCACTGTAGCGTGGTGAGCAGCACTGGGCCTCCCCGCGCTCCTGAACAACGCCTAGTGCTCTCCGCTGGCCTGCGGCAGGGCCCGCCACGTCTACGTCCGGTTTCTAACCAAACGCTCCGAGGGCAAGGCGACGCGCACAGTGACGGACATAAAGAACACACCGCAGGGACGGGCAGAGTTTCTGGGCGGCTACAGACCAGGTGTGGGACTCGAAACTCACGGGCAATCCCAGGGGAAACAAGTTCACCAAGGGACCCCTCGAGCTCCAGTCCCCAAACAGCCCAAGAGCATGCAGCTCCACAGCCAGACAGCCCACGGCAAGGAACGGCCGCCCTCGCTGAGGCCAAGACAGACGGCTGCCGGCGCCTGTGCTGAGTCTCTGGCTATTTCTGCAGCCCCCAATGAGACCAATTCCCTGGGAGAAAAAATCTAAAAGCAAAACACACACCGTTGTGAGGGCGACTCGGCACTTCCTGCGCCCCCAGGAAGGAGGGTGAACGGGCCGGAGGCCTCGGGAAGGCACCGGGTGGGAGGCTCGGCGTCCCTGACCCCGCAGTCCTGAGGAGCTAACCCGGCAGAACGCTCCCCCACGTGGCCAACGAGGGCGATCCTGCAGCATTGTGACAGCAAAATACTGGAGGTAACCAGAGACCCATGGAGTCTGGCAAAGCAGGCCACCCCACAGCCAGCCGGCCTCACGTGTCCCGAGACACAGCAGGGGGACAGAGGTGCAGAGCAGTGCCCGCAACACGCTGCCGCACGGCTCAGTCACACACGCAGACCCAGCAAAGATGTGAACACGGGGGGGGGGGGGGGGAAGAGAGGCAGGTACGAGCACACACTGCCCATGTGAAAAGCACACAAGGTTGTTTTCCTGTTTTAAAAGCAAATTTAGGGCCGGTGCTGTGGCACAGCGGGTTAAAGCCCAGGCCGCAGCGTCGGCATCCCACATGGGCACCGATTTGAGTCCTGGGTGCTCTGCTTCTGATCCAGCACCCTGCTAGTGCACCTGGGAAAGCAGTAGAAGACGGCCCAAGTCCTTGGGCCCTTGTACCCACGTGGGAGACTGGGAAGGAGCTCCTGGCCCTGGCTGTTGTAGCCACTGGAGAGTGAACCAGCAGCAGATGGAAGACTCTAACTCTTTAAAATAAATAAATCTTTAAAAAAAAAATAAAGGAAATTTATCAGTTAGTTCATGAGTCACATCTTGACTTAAAAACTAACTTTTGGGATACAACTCATTTGAACTTGGGGTGGGCACTGTGGTGCAGGGGGTTAAGCCGCTGCTTGGACACCTGCATGCTACATGGGGCTGCCTGGTTCGAGTCCCAGCTACTCTGCACTTCCAACCCAGCTCCCTCCTAGTGCTCCCTGGAGGCAGCAGATGATGGCCCACGTAACTTGGGCCCCTGCCGCCCACGTGGGAACCTGGATGGAGTTCCTGGCTCTTGGCTATTGCAGGCATTTGGGGAGTGAACCAGCGAATGGACGTTTTTCTGTCTCTCCTTCTCTCCCCCTTTTGAGTAGATGAAAATAAATAAACAATTTTTAAAAGTTGAAAAACAAAACTGTACTGCTCGGGACACCCACATCCCATACTGGGGTCCCTGTGCCAGCCTGGGGCTGCTTCTTGCTAATGTGCACCCTGGAGGCAAAGAGCTGGGTCCCTGCCACGCCCATGGGGGACCTGGGTTGAGCTCTGGGCTCCTGGCCTTGGCCTGGCCCAGGCAACTGTTGAGGCCATTCAGGGAGTGAACCAGAGATGGCAGAGCTCTGTCTGAGTCTGACGCTGTCCTCCGACCCCGCGGACAGGAGGTGGGGCTCGGCGCAGAGGCGTAGCAAGATCTGTGCAGCGAAAGCAGCTTGGGCTGCAGCGGCAAGAGATTTTCAGGTTTTGAAGAGAAAAGCGGCCATGGCCTCTGCGGGAGGTCAGTGGAAGGAGGGGAAGGCAGGCTTTCAGTTGGCTAAGGTGGTGCTCAGGGAGTCTGAGGAGTTAATCAACTGACCAAGAGGAGCTGGACCCCGGGCTCACATCGCTTCCGCTCACTCCTTGTCCGACGGCTGCAGGCGTTAAGCAGGACTTTGTACGCAACAAGCACTGAACTCCACCAGGCACTGCCAGCGCTCCACGAGCGTTAGCCAAGACTGATTCGGAATCTAGGAGCTGGGTTTCCATTGTGGAGATAACCAGCCGAAGTGCTGATACCAACCTCACTTGACAGCGAGGCAACATGTTGCAAGGCTGTTTCCGCAGGGCGGGGCGGAAGGAGGAACAGCGCATTTGGTAGTCTGGTGCCATGCTTGGAGCTGACTGAGGAAAAGGGACGCACCTCCCTCTGATTAGATCCCACCTGGGTGACTACCCACAGGAACCATGCAACTAGACCCCGTTCTCTTCCTGTCAAAGTTGAGAGAGACACGCAGCCCCAGAGAACTCCCATCTTCTGGTTCACTCCTCAAATCCCATAGCAGCCAGGGCTGGGCCGAGCTGAAGCCAGGGAACTCCATCCAGGCCACCCACGTGGGGTGGTTGGGACCGAACCTCTGGAGCTGTCAGCGCTGCCTCCTAGGGTCTGCACTGGGGGAAGCTGGAGTCAGGAGCCAGAGCCGGGAACCAACCCCAGGCACTCAGATGTGGGGCACAGGCCACGTGAGGTCAAACGGCCGCCCTAGATCCTATAAGTCTTTATCAGTCGTGGGACCCTGAGTGAATCCAACTCTTGGGGAAAGCCCCTGGAGTCCGATAATCCATCGATAGTAAGCAGATCCTAAAAGGCACCCGTTCCCAAACAATCCTGATTCGCTGGTGTAGAAATCAGCTCCACCCCACCAGCGCCCTCCCTGGCATCTTCTCCGACGGCCGACATGCGACACTGTGGCATCAACCACAGAGGTGGCCTTGCCTCAGATACAAACTCCGCAGGCTCTCATCCTTCCAAGTTCTCAAACAAGCCTTTACTGGCTGAAACCCGGTGTACCGCATCTTTACACGCCCTGGCCCGGACGTGTGGGGAAGGCCCGGGCCCTCCCCGGTTGAGCACGCTGGGCAAGGCCTGCTCCTCTGGGCCTGTGCTTCCACCCCGCATCCAACCACGGGCGGGCGCAGAGGGGTGAGGTGCGGGGCGGGGCTGCTTTGCTCTTCCTGTCCTACGCCACGGCGCCAGCTGCTCCTTTTCTAACGGCTACAACCTGGGGCTCCCCCAGCGAGCCTGTGCAGGGGCCGACATAATCAGAGTTCACTGAAAACCAGTGAGTGACGCGGGCTAACACTAGGGGACACTCACCACAGGCCGCATCTGAAGGCAGCAGTGGTCTGAACACGGAAATCACCCCCCCACCGCGTCCTAAGGATTTCAAAAATTTGAGGAGAAAAAAATGTGCTTGGAACCACAGTGCCCCCTCGTCAGGGAGTACACGGGCAGCGTGTGTGTTAGCAGGGAGCACTTGGCCCTCTGCTCGCAGAAGCCGGGCCCCAACCCCGAGGGCAGAGGGCCAGGCGGGCACCTGCCAACAGCAGAGGCAAGGGCATTCTGCCTACTGCTCTTTCCAAACCGGGGGCCTTCCTGCCCCCCACCCCCACCCCCGTCTGACTCTCAGGAGGACGCGGCTGCCATGCCCCGCGGCAGGAAGAGTCTCGCCATAGAAAGAGAAAGCTGCCCCATGGCCTGTGGGCGTGCGGCTGCCCTCACCCCCCGGGAAACACACGGAGAGCACGGAGAGGGCCCCCCCCACCCCGCAGAGAGCTCCGCCCACCTTCAAGGTCTTCACGGCCACCGTGAGGCTGTACTTCTTCCACACGCCCTCGTACACCTCCCCGTACTGGCCGCCGCCCAGCCGGTGCCGCATGGCGATGTCGGTGCGCTCCATCTCCCACTTGTCGTAGCTGGGGGACACGCCGTACACCGTGGGCTTGTTGCGCTTGGGGGCTGGGTAGTGCAGGGTGGTGATGAGGCCGTCGGCCACGGTGCAGTGGTGATGGACCAGCTCCGCCAGGGTGTTGAAGCGGCTCTCCGAGGAGACGTAGAGCTGAGGAAGACAGCGGACAGCCTTCAGTCCACACAGCAGGTGCACTCTCAAACAACCCAAATAAAGCCGTCTGAGCCGTCGTTCCATTTTTAGTGAACAGCAAAGATGTCAAATAAGCACCTCCACACTCAGGACAGCGTTTAGAAAATCACGTGTAGTGTCTTCCTCTACAGGGCTCTCACGTACTCACAGAAGCAGAACAGACAGCAGAAGGCCTCAGGGCCTTTGCACTTGCTGCACCCTCTGCCTAAACCCCCCATGAAACCGCCCACGCCCAGGTCTTGCTTACCATTCTGAGACCACCTTAACTGTCGGTGCCGCCTTCCCTGACCACCCAGGCTGAAGTCCCCGCCCACCTCGAGCCTGTCTCCTCTGCATGTATCTGACACTAGCTGGTCACCTCCTGCTCACTGCTTCGTCCTGCCCCCACAGGATAAGAACACACCGAGGCCAAGACGTGCAAATCCCCGTGGCACCCCCCGTGGGCTGCCTCCATCAGCGCTCCCCAGGAGCACAGTGGGGGCGTGACGGCCACACAGGAGGCTGCACGACCATTTCCGGCATGGGGAAGGACGAGGATTTCAGACACAAGCACACGCCTGTCTCTGTGTGAGATCTATAGCAGCAAAGACAGGGCTGGGGGGTGGAATGCCTCCTTCCCCAAACACCTGGGCTCCGGCCTGGACCTGAGCCTGCTGGCACGCTGAGGACAGCCGACCACAGCGGAGACTGGGGAGGCCAGGGAGGACTCGTATCACAACAAGGTGTTTGGGCACCTGCCCCAAGTGCAAAGACCCAAGGTGGAGGAGGACAGCGAGGACAGCAGTGACACTGGCATGACGAGGAGAAAAAGGCCCAGGCTTCTGCTGCCGCTATAACGTCTTATGGCCTGGGAAGAGAATGAGACGGAGACGCACGGCCGGGTCAAGGCAGTTCAGGCACCACTGCTCCCTGAAGTTAGCAACACCAGGTAAAGCAGGGAGTGACCCAGCACACAGGCCCACCCACCTGTAAACCCTCAAGACGGTCACAGGACTCAGCAAGAGACCTCGCTGCCTCGCTCGTGCCCCCCCACCCCTTCTCTCTCTTTTTGCTTGGAGAGGGGACACGAGTGAACTTTTAAAACTCTGGGCTTATAGAAGTCTACTGGCATCAACCTTGCTGAAACAGAATTCCGAGAAGTCCAGGATCTGTCCGGGACTCCCCTGCTCCGGGCCTGCTCCTCCCGTGAAGGCGGCTCCTGGAGCCTGGCTCGTACCCCTGCGAAACGGGGCCTTCCGGGAGGCCTGCTTCGTCCACCACAGCACCAAGGAGAAGCCCTGGGGCTGCACGGGCCACACTCACACCCAGGGATATACACACATGAGCCTGTGAGGGAGCCACTGAGCCTGCCCTGAAGACCCACTGAAGACCCACACGGCCACGGCCACGGCCACGGCCCACTGCTCAGCCTTAGTCACAGACAGAACTGTTCCCAGCCCTGACCTGTGCTCCCATTACTCCCCAGCCAGAAGGGAGCAGAGTGAGAAGAGGCATTCCAAGAAGACATTGCTGGAATCCCCACCCTGGACACCACGGGGCGGTACGGGGCAGAAGAGGCTGCTCGGGACTCCTGGGAACAAGGCTCACGGCCCATTCCTCCCGCCAGGGCAGGCGGCACGGAGGCAGGATCCCCAACCCGAAGGTCAAGTTCCTCCAACCATGCACGCACAGAATGCTAGTGGCCCCCAGCCCCAGGTCATGCAGGATGCACTCCCGGTGCACTCTGCCAGAGACCTGAGCGCCACGGGAGGTCTGACCAAATGCACAAACTTGACCCTTTCTGATAACTAAATTTACAGACGCTGTGACGTGCTTCATCTTTTCAGGGTAAAATGAACGTGCCAGCCCCGGGAGCTACTGACACCCTGGCCCCTAAATGCACTTCACGCTCCTCTCGCCCGCGGCCTGGCTGCTGCCTCTTGACCAGTTCCGGCTTTGAGTGGCATTTTGCCAGTGAACTGGGTGCTCACCAGCAGTGGGCGGCTTGTTCAGAGGAGGCAGTGAGGTTAGCCCACGAGTGCTGTGCCATCATGCCACGCCCTGGACGCCAGCATGCACGAGCCCCAGCCAGGGCAGGTCAAAGCCGCTCCCCACACCCATCTTCCTGCTGACAGGCACACGCACAGGCAGGGGCTGCGCCCGATGCTGTTGCAGGCTGCTGCTCAGGAAGTGAGCATCCCCCGAGAGCCACTCGCACGCCAGGAAGCCTGGCTGAGCCCAGGACACCTGCACCTGCGGAGTCCCTGGGTGGCGAGGGAGGGGCTTCCGAAGCTTCTGGCTCAAGCCCACCCTCCATCCGGTGCACTTCAGCAGACCAGGGACCAGGGCTCTGCGGTACTGGGAACACGACCAGTGCACTCCACCCAGGAGGACCGAGGTGTGGACACAGATCAGCAGAACTGAGAATGGTTTAGGAAGGGGGCGTGGTGGTGGTGGAGGGATCGATCGTTCTTTCTGCTGCATTAACAAAGGATTAGCCCTGGAGGAGCCGAGCTGCTCTCCGTGGTAGAACAACAGCCGGGTCTCAGGCATCTGAAGGCTCCCGAGACATCTAGACCCGCAGGAGGCTCGGGTCGGTACCGGCCCAGCTCCAAAGTCCTGCGGCCCTGGGGCTAACTGATCAGCCAGACAGGGAAGAGGAGCCAGGAGGAGGGGGCTTAGAGAGGATCTTCTAAATTCAGTTTTTTCTGAAGATCAGCTAATTTGAAAGTAAGAATTGAACTTAATCAATCCCAGCCTGTCCTTCCACCAACCTTATATTTCCCCTTTAGAAATCCAAAAAGGATCATAGCAAAGTTCTGCTGAGTGGCAGATGGAAGATCTCTTTCTCTCTCTTACTCTTCCAAATGAAGAAAAACGAGTAACCAAACATTAAATAAAAAAGTTCTACCTCGTGAGATGCATTTTCCCACCAGCCACGGTGTCCCACACGAAACTGTCCCACTTTGACGCTGCCCATGCACAGAGGTGGCCCTGTGGGCTGGGAAGGGAGGTCTCTGGCGGGCGGGGGCGGGGGCTGCTGAGGATCTGCCCCACAGTGGGAGCTGCTGCCAGCGAGTACCCCCCACGCCCACCGCGCGCTCTCCCTGGAAGGAGAGGAACCCAAGTGGCAGGCACTCGGATGCTCTCAAATCCTGCCAGTCGGGTAGGCCACAGCAGGTCTTTCTTCCCTATGCAGTGTCTCAGCCCAGCCCCGGCTGATGAGCTGTCAACGAGATCGCGCCTGCCTGCCTCTGGTACTGCCGCTGGCGGAACAGCTCTGGGAGGAGACACCATTCCCCTGCTCAGCACGAACCTCACGTGAGGATCAGGGCAACAGGGCCTACCCTGGATTAGCAGTGCCAGGGGAGCGAGCTGTCGGCTCCAGAGAATCGCCTCCCCTGGGGGCGCACCCTGGGGTCCTGACTCACTCAAAAGGCGCCCTTCTGAGGCTTACGAGGGCCCAAGCCCTGGAGCGGCTCCTATAGGACACAAATACTCAGCTCCACATCTGTGATGAGAAAAACAACTAAAACCAAGCTGAGGAGACCACGCAACAAGAGACTACGCTCTGTCCTACCAATCACGGTGCTGGTACCAAGGAAACCCGCATGACAGAGAGCGACACTGACGACAGGATTCAGCCAGAACATTTAAAAAAAAAAAAGTATGTTCATAAGGTACAGATCTGTAAAGACAGCCAGGAAAATGCTACCAAGTCAGAAGAGCAGAACAGTGCTACCCAATGTTAAAATACAGCATACAGTTAGAGTAACGACCAGCCTGGCGCTGGCAATGGACAGACAGGCCGAGGAGGAGAGAGGGCAGCAGCCTAGATACAAACGTGAATCTGGTGTATTTCTTTTCTCTTCTTTTTTAAAAGATTTATTCATTTATTTGAGAGGTAGAGTTATAGACAGAGAGAGGGGGAGAAGCAGAGAAAGGGCTGCCATCTGCCGCTTCACTCCCTAGATGGCCACAACGGCGGGAGCTGTGCCGATCCAAAGCCAGGAGCCAGGAGCTCCATCCGGGTCTTCTGCATGGGTGCAGGGGCCCAAGCACTTGGGCCATCTTCCACTGCTTTCCCAGGCGCATTAGCAGGGAGGTGGAATAGAAGTAGAGCGACTAGGACTCGAACCGGTACCCATATGGGATACCAACGCTGCAGGAGGCAGCTCTACCTGCTACACCACAGTGCCAGCCCCGCCCCATACAAATTTTAACCAAACATTCATCAGTCCTAGCAATTTGTTTTGTATATACACAAAGGCGAATATGCAGTGTATATATATATATATATTTTTTTTTTTTTTTTGACAGGCAGAGTTAGACAGTGAGAGAGAGACAGAGAGAAAGGTCTTCCTTCCATTGGTTCATCCACCAAATGGCCGCTACAGGCAGCTTGCTGCGGCCGATCCGAAGCCAGGAGCCAGGTGCTTCTCCTGGTCTCCCATGGGGTGCAGGGCCCAAGCACTTGGGCCATCCTCCACTGCACTCCCGGGCCAAGGCAGATAGCTGAACAGGAAGCGACCCGGACAGAATCTGGCACCCTGACTGGGACTAGAACCTGGTGTGCCTGCGCCACAGGCTGAGGATTAGCCTATTGAGCCACGGCACCAGCCGAATATGCAGTATATTTTCAAACTGCAGGGCACCAGTCATTAATGGTCCCATGAAATATTTAGATTACAACCAGAAGTTTTTAAAATAACAGAGCATCTGAAGCAGCCACCGCCCCATCTGAGTACCTGATACAAAATATCAGAATGTGTCACAAAGAGTTGGGGTAGGTAAAGTTTCATGAAAGTTTTGTTACCAGTGTGAGTACTGGGTGGTGATGTGAGCCCAGATTTAAAAATGATTTGGAAGCTACCTCTTAACCAAAGATTGGAAACAACTCAAAAGTCAGCCAGCAGGGGGTGTTTACACAAATGAAGGGCTTTCTGTGCTACAAGGGCCATCAGCAAGAGGGAGGCAGCTCCAGATGTGTGGCCATCAGGACAAGGGAGGGCTGGCGTCGGCTATGTGTCCTTAGAGACAAACACACACACTCCGGGTCATCTCCGGGTCACTCTACAAGATACTCTAATAGTGGGACTCTCTGGGCAGGGAACTAATTAGGACACATAATTACTTTCCACTGTAATTCATTTTGTTCTGTCAGTTTTTGAAACCATGTGCATACCTTCTATACTAAGAATCACACCACCTGACCACCCCCCGAAATCCACAGGCTGGTGCAGAGGATCGGATGGTGGGAGCTGGGCTTCATCAGTCACTCACCACGAGACCCTAGCAAGACCGTCCTCCTTCTAAGCCTCCCATTCTTTAATGCCCAAATGCACCTGTGGCAGGGCCCGCCCAGAGGACTGAGGTGGGGCTTAAATGAGATGGCAACTGCCAGGCGTCCCAGCACAAGCAGGGACTCAGCAAATGTTAACTGCTCCCTTCCCTTCAAGGACTCCCAGCTGTTTCCATGAAGACCACAAAATCGCTCCCGCCCACTCCTTTACAAGACCACAACCTGAGCCTACTGTGCGTGCGCACACCTGTATGCAGCCATAAAGGTGACGTCATCCATGGAAGAGGGCCACGTGCCAGACTTATTTGGAAGGAGTGCTGTTAACGGCGCCTTTTGCTTTAAAAATACCACTTGAATTTTTCTCAGTGAATATTATTATTTAGAGGTTTTTTGTTTTGTTTCGTTTTAAAGGAAGAGCCTTAATCTAAGAGGCAGGTCCAAAGCCCACCAGCTACTCATCCTATCTTAAGAAACTGCTAACAACAGCCCTCGGGCAGGACAGTGGGGGACCACAGCAGCCCAGGACCTTGCACCTCTCGTGAGCCGGCCTCTCCTGAGGCAGGTGGAGTGATTTCTGCTGCGTACTTGAAAGAATCCTCAAGCGTCCTGGTTGAGCCTCGTCGTGGGTCCACCCCACAGCAGGACCCTGGGCTCTCAGCCCAGGACGAATCCCAGCTGCACCCCGCGAAGCCGGGTCCCTCCCCAGCTGTACCCCCCCACCCCACGAAGCCGGGTCCCTCCCCAGCTGCACCCCTCGAAGCCGGGTCCCTCCCCAGCTGTACCCCCCCACCCCACGAAGCCGGGTCCCTCCCCAGCTGCACCCCTCGAAGCCGGGTCCCTCCCCAGCTGTACCCCCCCACCCCATGAAGCTGGGTCCCTCCCCAGCTGCACCCCTCCTCCACCCCATGAAGCCGGGTCCCTCCCCAGCTGCACCCCCCCACCCCACGAAGCCGGGTCCCTCCCCAGCTGCACCCAACCCCCACCCCACGAAGC